TCACGCGTGTGTGAGCACATGGCTTCACGCGTGTGTGAGCGCATGGCTTCACGTGTGTGTGAGCACATGGCTTCACGCGTGTGTGAGCGCATGGCTTCACGTGTGTGTGAGCACATGGCTTCACGCGTAGGGCCGTAACCCGCTATACAACGAACACCGGGGGGGGGGGGGCTATTGTCTCAGAAGTCAAGTTGCGGCAGACATAGTCTGCCATCCCGACCGGTTTAATCTGTAGGCTGCCGGTTTTAAACCCGTCGCCCGAATTGCGCCAGAGGTATTTGGATAATGTGTTATTAGCTTATAAAATTGGTCCTCGGTGAAGGGGGTTTAGAAATGGGCAGCTGGTCCCTTAAATCGATAGGGTCAGCGTCAATTGTCCTGTCCGCCCAGCAGAGGAGTCTACTGCATGACCTACTTGTGTGTGATCGTAGTTTCCTTTTCGGTGCCCTCACTGCATGAAACACAGTGACTCCTATTGGCTCACAGGATGACAGCCCATGGGCAGCTGTGACGATCTCACAACAACCTGGGCATCGTCTATAGCAGCAGTGTAGAAGGGCCACACACCCCGCTGATGAGCCACGATAAAGTTAAAGCCAGCATACGGCAGATTTTTTTTTGCATCGTCACAAGACAGATGGGGGTTCTAGTCAGCTGGCGTACTGAGAGACGTCGCCTGGCGTCATGGGCACCTCACGACCCGTGTGGCCAGCTCTGGTGGTGGGCGATATAAATAGCACCGCGCTACTGTACGCGCCGACTTAGTCGCTCAGTGTTTCTCGAGTGGTGGCTCCGTTTGGCTGATGCGGCACGAAGCCAGGGCCCGTGTGAGTGAGGCCAGGTATGCGGCCGAAAGCCATGGTGCTCGAGGTGTTTTTCAAATATATATTCTTTGTCTTCCCCCCTCCTCCCTTGAGTCCAGTTTTGCTATTGGAATCCTGCCATGTGGTGAATTGTCTCCGGAGCTCTCGAACAACAGATAATCACCCCATGTTAGAGAGCAGCCCTTGGAAGGAGGGGTCACAGAACTACATCTGAGATCCCTCCACGTGACCTCTTTATCCACACACCAGGGGGTGTATATCCTGCTGGTCCCAGAGCAGTCAAGCTCGGATGAGACAACTCGATATACTTGTTGAACCTAAATTTCGATTTAAAGCTTTCGTGACTGCAGGGATTCATCTTCTTGGTTCTTTCGATAAAGTCACTTAGAATGGAAATAATAAAATAATAAAACATAATAAATGTATTTAATTATGTGTTATTATTTTATTATTTCCATTCTACGTGACTTTACCGAAAGAACCAAGAAGTTGTTGAACCTAGTTTCATCGCAGTGGTTCCAATTTGGGTTTGAACCTAGGATCTCCATAGAACCATCTAATTTCTCTGAAACCCAAAGGCACCCAGGCATCTCGATGGTCGTAGTGTTGAAGGTTGATCTTTAATGAATGCCAGTTTGTGGTGTTGTGCTGTACCACGAGTAATGATTGATGTGGGAGTGTGCACTGCTGTGCAACTGGCTTGTGGGCGACTGGTGACAGGCCTCCGTGTGACAGGTGTCATTGGGAGTGGTAAGGGTCTTCCTGTACTGTCCCTAATTCTTGTTTCCACGTGTGCACTTGTGTGGGCTTGTGTGTATGTACATCGATCGTGTGTGACTTTGTGTGTGTGAATCCGTGTGTGTGTCTATACACATATACGGGCAGTGGTTTTCTTTGAATCCTACACTGAACTTTGATCTCTCGCCATGGCTAACTCACATCGGTGGCAAGTGGCATTAGAACTTGTCCTGGACCTTCTCTCGGTCCACTTAACTTGAAGGCACAATATAACCACAATCATCACCACAAATATAACATGCACATTTTAACCCAATCTAAAACGACATAACAGCATCCGCAATATAACCACCACATAACCGCAACTTAAACCACATTACCATAACTACAATAACTACCACAATATAACCACAGCAGCCACATTATGACCACAATGCATAACCACATGACCACTTTTTAACTACATAACTGAAACCACAACCATTATAACCACAACCACAGTATAGGCACAACCACAACAGCAAAAATATAACCACATCCCAAAGCATTAACCTTAACCACGAACATGGCGTGTGCGATGGAAGCTGAAACAATAACGAGGGCACTCCGAATTCTAGACCGTTCCAACTTTGCTTAAGCGTAAGGGTGGGGGGAGGAAGCATTGAATAATCATGGTTTGCCTGTTTCAACACATTCATTTAAAAAATAAAACAATGTTAACATATTTCATGTATAATCACGCACCTCTTGCACATTTTCACAGTAATATTCTCGACATCAGAATGTGCTGGCTTTATGAATGTTTTCCTCCCACTTACCGTTTGGGGGATCCAGAGTGTGACAGACGGATGTATGCAAATTATATAAATACGATCTTGATTTGAAGCTTTCGTGACTGCAGGAATCCATACTCTTTGGTTCTTTCGGTAAAGTCACGTAGTTAGAAAATTATAAAATTATTTTATAACTACGTGACTTTACCGAAAGAACCAAAGAGTATATATATAAAAATATAGATGTGGATCTTTGTTTTATTTTGTAAACCTAATGGATGCATCGACATAGGAGTGTTGTGTATAAAATACCTAACTCAAACATCATCCTGTATGGCATTACTTGAATGTCTGAGGTGCTCCCTCCTAGCAATTGCCCCCAACAGTCTCTCTGAGGCTACAAGGGAATCTTTGGGTGTGCGTGTTTTTGTGCGTGTGTGCTGCAGGTACAACGGATATGACTTTTACCGCCGGTAGAGCACGGGGCGAACAGCGACCGTCGCTGCCTCAACGCCGGGGCTTCCTCCTCACACCTTGGGCTTTTAACTCCATGGTTTTGCTCGTGTTTATCGGAATGTGACTTCAGTCGGTTTAACCCTCTCCATCGTCGGCATATCCGTGTAAGGTTTCGCGTTCCTCGTTAGTGCCGTTTGTTGACAGTGAGCGTTTGTGAGTTACCGTTAGGAGCCAATCCTCGCCCGCGTTTGCTGGGGGAGAATCGGGGTGGCGGAGGAGGAGGAGGAGGAGGCGGGCGAGGTGTCGTGGGGCGGAGCAGTGGAACCATCCGTTGGCTTCCCGTCGTGAGCGCGGTCCAGGCTTGGCTCCGATGATTAGATTTTCTAAAGCGCGTTGCGTTCCTGGTTTTCTGTTCTAGCTTGTAGATAACTAGAGTACCTGCTTGAGCGGCGGCTCGGGTCTGAGTTCCGGCGTCCGCGCGAGGGGGCGACGCGTAGGCGACGCGTAGGCGACGCGTGGGCTAGCGCGAGCTCCGGCCAGCATCGGCGTGGCCGGAGCTCTGCGTGGAATCGGGAACTCTCACTTTTTACAATAAAAGCATTCAAATATGAGCACGGCTGCGTGCCTCACTCGGAAGCAACGCGGCTCGGATCTCGAAAGGTTTTCTCAAAGTAACGCCGGCTGTGGAGAGATGCAGGCGGTCGTGCGCAAAGACGAAAGGAGCCAGTTTGGGATTAAGTGCAAGCAGATGGCGATTGCTATTGATAGGTTATATAATGAAGAACCTAGGGTGGTTAAGAAGTGCTTTCCCATGTAGAGAAAGTACAACATTGTATTGTCTACTCAGAGATAAGGAGTAAAATGGGGGTTATCCGCTAAGATGGACAACTCTGTTAGGGATAGGAGCTGGAGAGGCGCCAAGACCTTGTGTCCATGACCACTCACAGCGGGACTAGCAATGGCCTGGTTCCAAACCATGTGCCTAGGCTCTGACCTCATGCCCCACGTGCATCGCTTCCCTCTCCATCCACCTACTCCATATACCTGTTGCGATCCTTAAGAAGTCTGGAGACGGCTCACCCTGGATACGGCTGTCACGGCGTCTCTCGATCCAATCTGGCCAGGACGGAACGTCGCACTGCCAGCCGAGATTCACCAGCGGGGGAAGCGCTTGTGCGGCCCATAGCTTTGTACTGACCTCGCGGTTGGGGGTTGCGCTGGGACGATGAACAAAGGAGGATCGAGGCCTTTGAGATAAAAGGGCTCCGCCGCACACCGAGGATCCCCTGGACAGCAATAAATGGACCCTCGGTGAAATGGGCTTCCAAGAGTAGGTTCCTCGATTCGATGGAGAGAGATAATCTGGGGTGCGTCCTGCGGAAGCCCGGAGACTACATGAAGAAGGTAACTCGAGGCTTGGTCCAAGCGGCTGGCCCAGAAGAACTGGGATTAGTGCTGGTTCTTGGACAGGACTTCCGTAGATGAATCCCTGTGGCGTTGAGTAGTCCGTCTCGCGGCTACGCATCGAGGAAGACTCGAAACAAACAAATATTGGCTGCAAAAACCTTCGTGTTGTCATGAAGCAAAGTTTAGTCGAGGGTAAAGCACCCCACGCCATCAAGGTAAGAGGTGGATAAATGAGATGGTAGGTAGGCAGGCATGAGAGTTGAGTGAATTCACAGCCAGCAAATATGAATAAAAACATTTTTATTAAAAATAAATCTAGGAAACGAACATGTAGTAGCCCGAACGGTGAATTATAAACCAGATTGACTTGGATATAAAAAAATAATGCAAGAACATTTGGATTAAAATGTATATAAAAATTGCAATGAGTCGTGTGTTGTGACGTCACGTTGACTAGCAGGCATCGCGCGGGACACCTATCAGGCCTGGGGGGGGGGGGTCCCTTCACAAAGCAAGGTTGTGATTGGTTCCCGCTTCCCTCGCCAGCGGCCATCTTACGTAGGGAAGTGCGCGTGATAGGAGGGAAATTTCGATTTAAAGCTTTCGTGACTGCAGGGATTCATCTTCTTGGTTCTTTCGGTAAAGTCACGTAGAAGGGAAGTAATAAAGAATTGTTTTATTATGTTTTATTTTTATTATTTTATTACTTCCCTTCTACGTGACTTTACCGAAAGAACCAAGAAGAGGAGGGAAATTGTCACGTGGGTGCTACGCCGGCTCTGTGGGGGCCTCCGCTCCCCACCTAACATGGTGGAAGCTGCTTCACGCTGGGACGCGCGGTGCCGAGTCGCCGCGTCGCTATGGGAGCGGCGCTGCTGCTGCTGCTGCTCGCGGTGATCTTCACGCGACGCGGGCAGCAGGAGGCCCCGCGCACAGGGGCAGCCGCCGCCGGCTGCGCCCGCGGCGCCTTCAGGCTGCCCGGCATGGCGCGCTGCGAGCCGCTGCTGGGCTGCACGGAGATACGGGGCGCGGTGCGGCCCCGTGGGCTCCTGGGGCAGGGCGCCGTGAAGCAGGTGCCCCGACCCCGCCGCGATCTCTGTCCCTATCCCTCACCATGACACTGCGTCTCGCTGCTCTACCATATACCCAGACCGTGCTCTAACCCCACCTCAAAGCTTAGCGCCATCCCTAATCCTACCTGAATACTCGTACTCCTCCCCCTCGCGCCATCCCTACTCGTGGTATTAACCCTGCAGCTTGCTCCAACCTGGCCCTGTACCAATGCTGCCGTCCCCGTTCGCCAGTCGCCGCGCTCCGAGCCCCAACCCGCCAGTGCAGAAGGCGGCGTCGGTGAAAAGCTGTCGCCGGACAGAGATGAAGAAGAGAGTTCGGTTGGTGGTACTCTCGTGCATATCCCCGTGCCCGCAAAGCTACGCTGTGGGCAGCAGAGGGCAGTGCTGACACGTTCATTGTTTTACTCTGCTGTGCTCCCACGTCTGGTGAAGTGTGGTTCAGTACTCCCAGCTTGAGGGGCCCTCATCTCACAGTGGATTGACACAATGCCTGTGTATGTTTAGTAATACTATAGTTCCCGTGGCACTATAGTTGATACTATAGATTACCTATTCGTGTTGGTCTCTCGCACGCGTGGGTTTTCTCCAGGTGCTCCAGTTTTATCCCACGTGAATAATTAACACAACTCATCATTAATTGGCTGAACACATTTTAAAATAAAAAACAAATGCAGGATCCTGCTGAAAAAGAGTCATATGATTCCGTGTGGATTTCCTGGATAAAAATAATATAGTTAACAATGCAGTAGTTTTCGTAGTTAATTATTGCATTGGGAAATAAATGTGAGATGGAAAATAACTAATCCGGCAAGTTTCCCACCTTGTCGTCTCCCACCGGCATCTGCCAGCCTCGGGCTGGATTCGCTTGCATTGGGAGTGTTCAGGACGCGTGCCCGGTGAGTTGCGTCCGTAATGGTGCCGCCTGGTACGGCCGTGTTCACCGCGTCAGGTTCACCTGGCGGAGTGGCGTGGCCTCACCGTGGCGCTGGCTCGACTCCGGGACCCACGCTACCGCGCCGACATGCGGCACGGAGTGGCCATGCTGCGCGGGCTGCAGGGCCCCCACGTGGTGCAGCTGGTGGGGGTGTGCGAGGAGGACGACGCCTTTGTGGCGGAACACCACGCGCTGGGGGCGCTCCACACGGCCGAGCGCGTGCTCCAGGGCCACGGCTGGAGGACGCGCATGCAGGTTGTAGATTCTCGCACGCCGAGCGTCATCCACGGTTGACTCGTAATGACTTGACAAAGCATAAAGCGTATCTCCTCCGATGTGTTTTTGGGTTGTACCAGACGTTGCTCGGCACAATGTCCGGTGTTTCGCGCCATGTTAAGGGAGCATCCTGAATGAGTTCAGAGAACTCTGCAGTGCATTGTCAATTCTTTATACACAATAACAATATGGTAAAAGACAAAAAGTAATAAAATCTTCAATAAAATCACAATCCGTGAAATCGCCGAGTGTAAATCGGCCTGAATCCACGGATGTCATTGCAGGTGGCGATGAGCTACGTGGAGGTGTTGGCATATCTGCACGAGAGCCCACTGGGCACGCGCGTTATGTGCGACTCCAACGACCTGGCCAAGACACTGTCGCAGTTCCTGCTCACGTCGGAGCTGCGCGCCGTAGCCAGCGACCTGGACGCGTTGCCGCCGGTCGACCGCGGCGCCGGCCGGCTCGCCACGTGCGGCCACCGTCAGCTCGGCGGGGACTTCGTGGCGCCTGAGCAGCGGTGGCCCTACGACGATCGGCCCTTCGATGAGAGCGCCATGCCGGGCTACGACGAGAAGAGCGACGTGTGGAAGGTGCCCGACGTCACGGATTTCCTGCTGGGTGATGCGCGGGGAAGCGACGTCGCTCGCTTCCACCTCTTCGGAGTGCACGGCCGCTGCAAGGAGCGCGAGCCGGCGCTCAGGCCCAGCGCCGGGGAGCTTGCGCGCACGTACAGGGCCCTGCTGGCAGAGCTGGAGCACGAGGAACTGTGAGATCCACGCGGTCACACGGCCAAACAAAACTCTTTGAGTTTGTGAAGCGTCTTATAAGTGCAACTGCATATAAGCAAACTATTAGGATGTGTTACAAAGAAGGAGGTGTGTATGTAATGTATGGTGGGGTGGAGCGGTGATGCAGTGGTTAGCGCACCACGCTGTGAACTTTGCGACCAGTTTGTTTCTCAACCGTGGCTAACATCAGTGGCAAGTGTTGTCTGAACTGGTCCTGGGCCCCAACTCTTTGCCAACCTCCACTGACAAGCGTGAAGTATGGCTAAACACCATCCAAGATTGACACATGGGGAGGTATTAATTCAGAGTGGAGTTGTAAATTGTTTATTACGTATATATTTACACACTATTTTAAGTGAAGAGTCGGGCAACAAAGCAGAAGAGGCGTGGTCTTGAACTGAAGTTGGGAGTCTACAGCACAAGATGGCTTTGAGCTCCACGATCTCGATGATTGTTCAACTCTCAAACCCAAGTGGTGAGTCCTGCATTTACCCAAGCTTCTTCAGAGCTGAGACTGTGCAAGCTGAAGAAAGGTCCATCACTCCCGTTATCAACTTGGAATCGTATATGGCACCGACGGGGCCCTGCTGGCTCTCCACACTGTACCCTACACCCACGTGCCCCCTGAATGTGTCCGCCCATCTCGAACCTCGGGAACTAAGCAGGCTTGAGTCTGGATAGAATTGCCTGACATTACATCCCTAGCTTTTATGTGATAAATGCCACATTCAATAAATGAGCAATAACAATTGAAAAGTTTTGCACAGGAGTTACATTTGTGTGTGAAGGCTTGAAGTAAAGGGGTTTATTTGAGTGCAAAGTCTGTAACGTTTCGTGGACTCTCATCATGGGGCTACTGTGACATTGATCCCGTCTTGTTTGCTTTTTTTAAGAGTGATACACGCGACCTTTGGTCCAACTTCCTCCTTCCCTCTAATTCAGACAAATAATGTCACCACTGCAGTTCTCATCGCAGTAGGCATGCCCAGGAGACATTGGGCTCAATGACACGGGTGATACCCATTATGGGCAAAACCAGTATTTGTACAGGTGGAGAGGTTATTTTCAGTCTACTGAGGCTAAATACAATAGTGTTTGATATCATTAGTCTTTATCGGAATCTAATTGATTGTACTGTATATGAATGGTAGATAACCCTTTTTCTAAGCCTGGCTTACTCACCTGACTGGTTTCCCTTTACGGCTTTCTTCTCAGTGATCTTTGCGAACCATTTGTGTGTGGGCATAGAGGCTGATGGGCCAGTAGTTCTTCAAGTCAGTTCTATCACCATTATTATTATTTTTTATAGATTTAAGATCGAGACAGCATTCTACGATTGAGGTTTACTTGATGTACAAATATTTTCTTGTCGGTCTGTACATTTTGTTCCAACTGGTTCAACTTCTCTGTGGCCCTGATCTTGCTGCGATTACAGCGGTTGACGGATCATTCAAATATTAAAGTTCAACAGTATTCCTGCTTTGCGTTTTGCCCAGACTGTGCGTTCTTTATTTTACAAAGCCCTTCCACCCACGCGCCAGCCACTGGCACACACACACATAGAGTATTGCTACTCCCACGTGTTCACGCGGCAACAGGACTCCGCCCACGAGGATATTGTACAGCACGCCTTGCTCTCACACTCCGTGAATTCACAGCTGACATCGTTTATGGTATTGATATGCTGAACCTTGTATTTCGGCGTGCTGAGGACCTTCCAGCAGTAGGATGAGCAAATGTTGCGTTCAACAAACAAGGAAAGCAACACTTCCCTGCTGCGTTCCTTGCCCTGATCCACTTTTTAATTCGTTCCCATCGTCTCTTTTGTCTGCGTTCTTACGACCTAACTCAATGAAACATCAACTTTTAATCCATGAGTCGGTGTCCCTGAGTAAGATGGCCGGTCGTGTGGCACGTGCGCGTGACGTCACGGCCCCGCCGGGCTGTACCAACTGCGCGGCCACGGCGGGGGGCGCCGGGGCAGCAGAGTGGGAGGGGGTGGAGTGGGGGGGCAGCAGAGTGGGTGGGGTGGAGTGTGGGGGGGGGGGCAGCAGAGTGGGAGGGGGTGGAGTGGGGGGGGGCAGCAGAGTGGGAGGGGGTGGGGGCAGCAGAGTGGGAGGGGTGGAGTGTGGGGGGGGGGCAGCAGAGTGGGTGGGGTGGAGTGTGGGGGGGGGCAGCAGAGTGGGTGGGGTGGAGCGTGGGGGGGGGGGGCGTCTCGTGGTCGCGGTGGAGCCCGGGAAGGAGAGCGGCGTGGTGGGTGTTGGTGGTGGTGGGTGTTGGTGGGGGGTGGAGGAGACCGCGACTCGAGCCGCGGACGAGGGCGAGGAAGAGGAGGCAGCAGCAGCTGCGGCGCATGGCGGCGGTGGTGCGGGGTTTCGGCGGGCGGGCGGCAGCGTGAGCGAGAAGGAGCGAACAGCAGCAGCGGCAGCAGCGGCAGCAGCGGCCGGCGGCGGCGGCGGCGATGGGGAACCGCGCGTCGTGCTGCGTGGCGGCGCCCGGCAGCCCGGGCCCGTCCCGCAACCACGCGGAGCCGCACCGCGCGGCGGCGCGCGCAGACGACGCGCGCGACGGGGGCGCCGCCGTCCACCTCCAGCACATCAGCGACAGGGAGGCGCTCGACGGTACGCGGGGGGGGGGGGCACCCAGGGGGGGGGGGCGGGGGGCACGCGGGGGGGAGGGGGGCACGCGGGGGGGGGGCACGCGGGGGGGGCACATGGAGGGGGAGCACGGTGGGGGGGCACGCGGGGGGGGGCACGCGGGGGGGGGCACATGGAGGGGGAGCACGGTGGGGGGGGGCACGCGGTGGGGGCGGCACGCGGGGGGGGGGCATGGCGAGATCCACGGCTCGGGGTGAAGGCGGTGGGCACGAGGCCGCAGCGGACGCGGTGCATGGGTTTCAGGGCAAGGGTTGGGGGGGGGGCAATGGTGCACAGAGTGTGGGGGGCACGGCGTGTGGGGGGCACGCGGAGTGTGGACGTGGTGCGCGGCTTAGGCGGAGGGGCATGGGAGGGGGAGTTTGTTCTCGGGGCACGGGGCCCAGAGAGAGAGTGCACGGGGCGGTGTGGACGTGAGCTCGCGGCAATTTGACTCTTGGGGCGGCCCGAGGCTGCTGGGGGCATTGGGCTCGGGGCGCGTCCGTGGGAGCGCAGCACCGTGCAGGGGGCATGGCCACGGGCGGCCAGGCTCTTGGGGATGGGGACACGGCGCGGGTAAGGGGGGCGCGGGTAAGGGGGGCACGGGTAGGGGGCACGGGTGATGGGGGCGCGGGTAAGGGGGGCACGGGTGATGGGGGCACGAGGTATACGCGGGCGAGAGCCCATTGAGACGCTGGCCGCTGCCTTGCGAGGGAGACCCGGGCAGGAAGCGGGGAGTCGAGGCCCCTTCCCCGGGCACTGGGCTCTGGGCAGGGTCCCGGGGGGTCGGGGTCCAAGGGGGCGTCCAGAGGCCGCGCCCCCTCGGGAGTCGAGCGCCGCCGACGCCGCTTGGGGCGCGGGCTGCCACTGAGGTCCCGAGTCTCTGGGTCTCGGTGTTCAGTGTCTCAGTGTACCCGAGTATACCCGTGTCCTAGTGTCCCAGTGTCTCCGTGTCTTAGTGTCCCAGTGTCTCAGTGTCTCAATGTTCCTGTGTCCCAGTGTCCCAGTGTCTCCGTGTCTTAGTGTCTCAGTGTCTCCCTGTCCCAGTGTCTCAGTGTCCCAGTGTCCCAGTGTCCCATTGTCTCCGTGTCTCCGTGTCTCAGTGTCCCAGTGTCTCAGTGTCCCAGTGTCTCAGTGTCCCAGTGTCCCAGTGACTCCCTGTCCCAGTGTCTCAGTGTCCCAGTGTCGCAGTGTCACAGTGTCCCAGTGTCCCATTGTCTCCGTGTCTCCGTGTCTCAGTGTCCCTGTGTCCCTGTGTCCCAGTGTCCCAGTGTCCCAGTGTCTCAGTGTCCCAGTGTCTCAGTGTCTCCGTGTCCCAGTGTCTCAGTGTCCCAGTGTCTCAGTGTCCCAGTGTCTCAGTGTCTCAGTGTCTCAGTGTCCCAGTGTCTCAGTGTCTCCGTGTCCCAGTGTCCCAGTGTCCCAGTGTCTCAGTGTCCCAGTGTCCCAGTGTCTCAGTGTCTCCCTGTCCCTGTGTCTCAGTGTCCCAGTGTCTCATTGTCCCAGTGTCCGTGTGTCCCAGTGTATTAGTGTCCCAGTGTCTCAGTGTCTCAGTATCTCCCTGTCCCAGTGTCTCAGTGTCCCTGTGTCCCAGTGACTCCCTGTCCCAGTGTCTCAGTGTCGCAGTGTCACAGTGTCCCAGTGTCCCATTGTCTCCGTGTCTCCGTGTCTCAGTGTCCCTGTGTCCCTGTGTCCCAGTGTCCCAGTGTCTCAGTGTCCCAGTGTCCCAGTGTCTCAGTGTCTCCGTGTCCCAGTGTCTCAGTGTCCCAGTGTCTCAGTGTCCCAGTGTCTCAGTGTCCCAGTGTCCCAGTGTCTCAGTGTCTCAGTGTCCCAGTGTCTCAGTGTCTCCGTGTCCCAGTGTCCCAGTGTCCCAGTGTCTCAGTGTCCCAGTGTCCCAGTGTCTCAGTGTCTCCCTGTCCCAGTGTCTCAGTGTCCCAGTGTCTCATTGTCCCAGTGTCGCAGTGTCGCAGTGTCCGTGTGTCCCAGTGTATTAGTGTCCCAGTGTCTCAGTGTCTCAGTATCTCCCTGTCTCAGTGTCCCTGTGTCCCAGTGTCCCAGTGTCTCAGTGTCTCAGTGTCCCAGTGTCCCAGTGTCTCAGTGTCTCCCTGTCCCAGTGTCTCAGTATCCCAGTGTCTCAGTGTCCCAGTGTCCCAGTGTCTCAGTGCCCTAGTGTCCCAGTGTCTCCGTGTCTCAGTGTCCCAGTGTCGCAGTGTCCCTGTGTCCCAGTGTCGCAGTGTCCCTGTGTCCCAGTGTCCCTGTGTCCCAGTATCTCAGTGTCCCAGTGTCCCAGTGTCTCCGTGTCTCAGTGTCCCAGTGTCTCAGTGTCTCGGTGTTTCGGTGTGTCTCAGTGTCACAGTGTCCCTGTGTCCGAGTGTCCCAGTGTCTCAGTGTCCCAGTGTCCCAGTGTCTCAGTGTCCCAGTGTCACAGTGTGTCCCAGTGTCACAGTGTCCCAGTGTCCCAGTGTCACAGAGTCTTAGTGTCTCAGTGTCCCTGAGTAAGTCAGCCCCTGTGTGTCTTGAGAATCTGAATACCCGATCCCTGAACATCTGAGATTCTGTGTCCCTGAGTCTCAAGGTTGCCTGAATATTGAAGTGCTGCCTGTGTCCCTCGGTGTCGTCTGTGTTCGTGTGTGTCCCTGAGTCCTGTGTCCCTGGGTGTTCGTGTGTGTCCCCTGACTGCCTGTGTTTCCACTGCCTTGCAGGCCGTCGGTGCGTGCCGGTTTGTGTGGTTGTGACAATAAATAGTGGTGGCGTTGCGGTGTTTAGTTGGTTGACCTTCCCCCGCTGCCCCGTTAGCACGGTTGGCTAGGTACAGTGTGAAAGAAGTTCAACGTACACACAATACATTCAGTGGGCGCTCTCTAACAACACTGTGGCGACCGTGAAGTGAGGATGCGCGTGTGGGCAGAGGTGGTGAGTGGCAGGAGGCGGTGGTAGTGGGTGGTCGTGTGGGAGTATGTGTGAGTGTGTGTTAGTGTGTGTGTCACCTTATGTGTGAGTGTGTGTCACCGTGTGTCACCTTGTGTTAGTGTGGGTGAGTGTGTGTCACCTTGTGTGTCACCGTGTGTGTCACCGTGTGTCACCTTGTGTGTTAGTGTGTGTCACCGTGTGGGAGTGTGTGTCACCTTGTGTGTTAGAGTGTGTCACCTTGTGTGTTAGAGTGTGTCACCGTGTGGGAGTGTGTGTCACCGTGTGGGAGTGTGTCATCTTGTGTGTTAGAGTGTGTCACCTTGTGTGTCACCGTGTGTGTCACCGTATGTCACCTTGTGTGTTAGTGTGTGTGTGTCACCTTGTGTGTTAGTGTGTGTGTCACCGTGTGTGAGTGTGTCACTGTGTGTGTGTGTGTCACTGCTTACAGGAAGTGTGTAGCTGCTGCTGCTCCGTCACCTCTGTGCATGCGGCATGGACTCAGGGGACCGTGTGGCTTTGATGCCGGGGCTAGGGAGGGCGAGGGGGGGGCGTGGCCCCCCCCCCCTCTCTGCATCTCTTTATTTAACCCCCCACACACAACTCATAAAGCACACACACAGCACACAAACAGCCCACACATGCAGCATATAAACACATGGCACACACACGGACCACATGGCATACACAGTACACGTACAGCGCACACATGCATCATGCACACACACAGCTCCCGCAGCACACACATAGCATGCACACAGCACACACACAGCATGGACACAGCACACACACAGCATGCACACACACAGCTCCCGCAGCACACACGCAGCTCGCACAGCACACATACAGCTCGCACACAGCACGCACACACACAGCACCACCAGCTGCTCCTCTTCCCCCTCATCCCCCAGCATTTGTCCTCGTGTCTGATTCATGTGGTATGGTGAGTGTGGGGTAAGTGCGGTGGTGAGTGCAGTTTGTCTATTGATGAGTGAGTAGTCTTGAGTCGTGAGGGTGTTATGAGTAGTATATGGAGCGGTGAGTTTGGTGTTATGAGTAGTATATGGAGTGGTGAGTTTTGTGTGGTAAATAATATTAATTGGTGAGTGTGGTGTGGTGACTAGTATTGTGAGTGATGAGAGGAGTACATTGAATGGTAATAAGGAGTAAGAGTGGTATATGGAGTGGTGAGTGGTGTGACTGGTGAGTGGGCGATTGCGCGCCGAGTGTTGCGTGGTGTTGGCAGGGTAATGTGCGGTGAGTGTGGCGCGTGTGGGGGTGAATGTGGCACGTCTGTGCATGGTATTAATATCTCCGGCTGGCTGGGAGACTGGGAGCGTGGTGTTCCCCGAGGACTCGCGCCTCGGCGCGTATGCCTGTGTGAGCGGTGGCGCCGCGGTTAACGCACTTCGCTACAAACCCAGAGACCCGTGTTCCATTCTCGCTCACGGCCAACACAGGTGACGATTATCTGAAGCGGCCATGGGCCTCCCCTAGGTCGGCTCAGTCTTAAAAGGGTACCTAGTACAGTGTAAACGTTGCCACTGGGGAGACGAATGTGCCCGGGCGCGGTGCTGGCGACCTGCCGCCTCGTGTGCCGTGCCGTCCATCGTAGCGAGAGGGAGATGGGAGGACGTCTCGCGTCGCAACAACTCGCCGCGGCGATTTGATTAACGATTACGATCTACGATCACGTGTTACTCGCTTCGATTTGTAAATGATCGACTGTCACGCACGATTTGCTGCATGCGTCGTGACGCGAAGTTGCATCGCCGTCTGTACGGTGCGCAGGGCACGCGCGTACGTCGTGCGCTCGTCCGGTAGCCGGGCGGCAGCAGGTCCTGTCGTTGAAGTCTGATCTTCCTCTATCACAGCGAGGCTGCTGGGGGAAAGTGGAAACTTTTTTCCCTCCTCCCGTCCCAAACGACCGAGTAAATCGGCTGGAATGCGCACCCAATCTCTTCTCGGAAGCTATGACCTCGGAAGCTTAGCAGGGTCAAGTCTGGATAGTGCTTTGATGGGTGACCACCTTGCACAGCAGGGTTGGTAAAGGCTGCGGGCCTACGTGCCGGGCAGCATCTCGTAATGCAGCAAAACCCGTTGTTGTGTTGTAGTTCTATGCTCCCATGTCTGCTGCCACGTCTGTGCTCCCCAGCAGTGTGATCCAGCATGGTGAAGCATGGTAAAATAACCCGCACGACCTGTAAGCCGTGGGGGGGCCGTGACACGTTACACGTAACACACGCGTGTTACGTGGACGCGTGTCACGCATGTTACGTGTACGAGGAAAACTCCGTGGGCGCCGACGCGTTCGCGGAACTCGTCTCCACGAGACGTCCTTGCCCCGGCGGGTTTCACGTACAAAGACGGACGGAGAGAGACGGCGAGGGACGTGGGGGGGCTGGGGGTAGGGGGGTAGGGGCCGGCCCCCGCTGGTGGTGTCGTGTTACCGGTGTGGGAGTGGAGTGGCCCGCGAGTGGCTCGCTCCGCTCGCGCCGCCCTTGTTCCCACGGCCGGCGCTGCAGAGCCGCGCGACCGCAGGCGGCACTACCGTGAAGAGGGACACGCGCGTGCACCCAGGGGACACGTGCACCCGGGGACACGTGCGCACGTGTGTGTCGGGAGCTGTAGTGTCGTGGTTCGCGTGCCGTGTTACTACGAACTCGCCGATTCACAGCAAACATCCGTGACGATGTGAACCGGTTCTGGGCCGCCACTAGGTCACCTCAGCCTTAAACGAGTATCTGGTGCGGTGTGTAAACATGAGACAAAGGTCGGCCGGCCGTGGTATTTGACACCCACCCCCTCCTGTACCGTAGCGGCCTTGGTAGATGCTACTCGCTAACAGCACTTTCCCCAAGTGTTAAATGGTACAATGGGGATCCTTTTCTATATGAAGCACATGTGGGTGTCTCGTGTATTTTGATGGGCCCGTCTGTGTTCACGCGTTCACGTGCACTCGCTCGCTGCGCCGCACGGATCCCTGGGGGGCACCTGGGACCCCGCGATCAAACTCCGCAGCCAGGGTCCCGCGCGATGCAGCAGGCTCCGTGCGCACCGCTCGTAGTACCGCGCGGTGAGGGTGGCGGTGATGAATACAGAACAGGTGAACGTGCCTTGTGTGTGTGTGTATGTACAACCCCTGAATCCTTAACCCCGTAATGCATAAAGGAGGTGAAGTGAGGAGAGAGACGCCCGTGGGAGTGAGAGTTGCCAGTGAAGTGCGACCTTTGACCCTATCTTTGCCGCCCCCTCTGCTCAAAGAAAAGCAGCACTCGTGCTGCTGCAGCTGCCATCGGACGAGAGTCGTTCGCCCGCTCGCCTGCCCGGTCGCTCAGTCTCGTGATCTTCCCCTGTGGCCTGTATGACCGATTCCCGGTTCTGCTATGTCTGTTTTTATTAATCATACCCGGCTGCTGTCGGCGTCGTATCATGAGATGAGTTGGATGCTCGTAGCGAGCAGCGTCATGACTCGTGTCGGAGAACGGCCCCTTCGGAAGGGGACGTCACAGAACTACTTCTGAAGTCTCTACAATCGCCTCTTTATCCACACTGGGGGCCTTCTCTGTACACCATGGCAAGAGCGTTCATCACATGTCAAACCATCATGCTTCATTCTCAGAGCTGCAATGTGCCAAACAAGTGAACATTCTAATACAGTAATAATGTTTTTGTGCCATTAATAGTGATATGGCTGAGACTTGAAATCTGGTTTAGTCTCCGGGGTTTGCCGGGATTCGCACCCAAGCTCGTGACCCGTGCTGGCTCGGTTGTCTTCACGCAGCGAGGGTCGCCTGAACCCCCTCTGGGCTTCACGTTGAACTCCAGTGTGAGGCCACTTCCCGCTGCTACACACGGCGATTGGTCTCATCATCTATGAGACTGCCTGCTCCCTGTGCCATCACACGTAGACTTACTCGTCGCCAGTGTAGGGGCAGGTCATGTTACTTTTCTTTAGTTGAGTTTGTGTAGATCCTGTAAAATATCTCGGAAAATGAAACGTACGTTCGGCAGTGACCTGGTGGGCAGGAGGAGCAAGGCGGTGGTGCCGAGAGGTCCTGGGTTTGAATTGAGGTTGAGGTTAGGATACGGATTTCATCAGCTGGACTGCCAGCGCTCATTGCTAAGCTTGGAGCACCTTAAGATTATCACGCAAAGTGTGGAAGGCTCGCTGCTAGGCCGGAGGTCGCGAGACAAACCCGGGAGCGAAGTGATAACTGACTGAGATGACCGGCAGATGCACCGCCTGTGCTCCTCTGCCACACGAGCGGCGAGCGACGCGCGTGCGGAGACGCGTGACCGTGGCGTGTTTGCGAGAGGATGTGGCTCCGCACGGGGCCTATTCAGGGATTTACCTCCGAACCCGACGGCTGAGGCTCATGGCGCTCTAATTCCGTCGGCGATTACGGACCCGGGCGATGGGCATGCCGCCACGCGCGCCCTCTCCCTGCCCACAGCCCCTTGCTGCCTGCGCAGGGGGGCAGCCGGGGGAGGGGCAAAAGGGGGCAGTAGCCACTCCCCTGCCCCCCCCTCCCAGAAATGTTGTGTTTAGATGGCCATTGTATGTCATAGCACTTTTTTGAGATCTATCAAGAATGTGAAATTGTAGATTATGTGCGTGTGGGGAGCAGTAGTGGAGTGGTGAGCACGCTGAACTACGAACCCCGGAGATCCGAGTTTAATTCCCGCTCATGACCAATAATGGTGGCGAATATCTGAACCAGTCATGGGCATCTCCTAGGTCGACTCAGCCTTAAAATGAGTACCTGGTGCAGTGCGTAAACGTGGCCACTGGGGAGACTAAGGCGGCCAGGCATGGTGCTGGCCACCCACCCCCTCGTGTGCTTTGCTGGCCTTCATTGGCACTCACTAACAGCACTTGCCACAACATTCTACTAAAGGCTGTATGGGGGATGTTTGTCTTTGTGTGTGCATTCACAGAGGTGGGCGGGGAGTGTAACCCCTCGGACCACCCGCGTGCCAGCACCATCTTCCTCAGCAAGTCCCACCCAGACGGTAGAGACTGCCGCAGCGCGGGCACTGCCACCACTACCACACTGAACCCCAACAACATGCAGCCACCATGCAACCACTACGACAACTACACTACCACCACTACCACAACACTAAACCCCGACAACACACCAACACCGTTAAACCACTTTGGGGTTTGTGCAGCGCGTGTGACGCGTTTGCCATGTGTGTAACATGTGTGCCGCGATCGTGTGTGTGTGTGTATAGTTTTGTGTGTGTGTACGTTGTGACTTGTCCGTAGGTGTTTGTAGATGCGTGTGTTTGTACACCATTGGCGTTCATGTGTGAATGGCGTGACGTGTGTGTTGTTGTGTGTAGTAGTGTGTGCGTATACGGCGTGATGTTGTGATGTGTTGGCGCTGTGCGTTGTTTATTGCAGTTCGCGACAAGAGGAAGAGCGTCCACATGAACCACGTGAGTGATGGCCCCAGGAGCGCCCGGCTCACACTCATTGTCCCTTACCTCACCGCGTGAGTGCTCAGCGCGACTCGGCATCACTTCGACAAGGGAGGCATCGGGACACTTTGTGTGTCAATCACCGTATTATCATCGTGTGTCCATGTAACGCGTGTGTGCGTGTCGCTTGTGTGCGTGTCACGTGCGTGCGTGTCACGTGCGTGCGTGTCACCTGTGTACATGTAACGCGTGTGCGTGTGTGCCATGCGCTGGAAACAGGTCTCTCCGTCGCAGCCTCTGAAGAAGTCGAGCTCCTGCTCCACGATTTTTTGGACGACAGCACCGTGAGCCAGCCCAACCTCAAGTACACCATCAAGTGGTGAGCACCACACACTCACACCACATTCACCACACTCACCACACTCACCACACTCACACCACACTAATACGACACTCGCCACACACAGCCTGTACACACCCCACACGCATCCCACAAACACCACACACACCACACTCACACCTCACACAGCCTGCAAACACCCCACACACACCACACACCACACACATTCATTCCCTGTGGTGCAGATTCACGTTTTTTCCCCACTGGTCTCTAATTCTTGCCGTGCTTGTTTTTGTCTTGTGCGTGCGAATCTGTGCACGCGTGACCCTGCGTATGTGTGCGTCCGTGTCTGTATGACCGTGCACGCGTGTGCATGTCGATGTGCGTGCGTCTTTGTCTGACTGCGTGTCCACGTCTGTGCGTCTCCTGTCTGCGTGCATCCCTGTACCTCGGTGCCTGCGTGCATCCCTGTACCTCGGTGCCTGCGTGCATCCCTGTACCTCGGTGCCTGCGTGCGCGCGTGTGCGTACGCTTGCAGCGTGGCGTTGGCCGTTTACTACCACATCAAGAACAGGTGAGTGGCCGCGCCCTGCGTCACTCTAGACACGTGTCGGGGCTGGGGACCGGTTGGAGCGCCCCCTCGTCTCCACACGGGCTCACGGTGGACCCAGGCAGCCGAAACCAAAGTCGGTGCTGCTCGAAAGGGCGGCTGCTCGATAGGAGGAGGGGAAGGGGGTGGAGCGGAGGAGGAGGAGACTTGTCAGCAAAGCCCTCATGAGAAGAGTACAGCATCGGCCGTATCGTCGTGATCAGGCAGCCGAGTGCCGCCCGACCCCTGACTCCCGACCCCGGGGTCTTAACGGCAGATGTGTGTGGGAGCAGGGGGCGGTCTCGGGCAGCGGCTCCAGGGGGTGGGGGTGGAGCGAGGTTGGGGGAGGGGGCAGCCTCGTGGGGGGTTTGGATTGTCGCAGGCTGGATAGAGCCGGAGCTCGCGCTTCCTCTCGCGATGGGGGAGAGGGCGACACTTCGTCTCAGGCGATCGTGGGGGGAATCTATCCGGGCCGTGACCTTAATTCCACAGCTCAGATTGTGCGGGGCCTCGCCTCTACGACGGGGCCGGCAAACGGCATTTATCCGTGAAGTCACCGGTTGTCCTGTAGTCGTGTGCACACGGTCAGTGCCGACAGTCCCGGCGTGATCACGGCTCGGTGTCAGCTGTTGTGGGGTTGCTCGCCACAGGGAATTAAAATCCGCATTTGGCCCCTGGCAATGAAAAGTTCCCCCACCCCTGGACTCGAGTGAGCACTGGGGTTGTGGCCGCGTTAACGGCCGAGTTAGGGTCCAGAGCTGGAGTCCTCGAGTGGAAGCTGAAGTTTGGGTTTTGTCCAGAGCAGTGAAGGGGTTGGGGTTTGGGTCAGGGATAGGCAGGGGTGATGGCTGGAATGAATGGTCAGGGCTGGGTTTTGGGAGGTTTGCTGGGTTAGGGTCGTGGTCGGCGTTGGTGTTGGGTTCAGGACCCGGGTTCGAGTCGCGATGTCACCGCTACTTTGTTGTCCGCCGTGGTGCACCACTGAGCAGAGTCGAAGCGATTCGGCACTCGCTCAGATGCGGTGATTTCGTACAATGCTAGGTCATGATTCGGTTCACGAAATTATTTATTTTCCCCAGCAGTGGTTGCGGCATCTAGCGGCCACAAGGTTTCCCTGAACCAATCGCGAGCAACGTAAATGAATGTCGGATGATGGATTCTCACACGTGCGATCTGCTCGCGTGTCTTGTGGGCGTAAGCGAGTTCTGGCGCTCACCGACCTCTGACCTCTTTCCCCAGGGACCCTGATGTGCGGCTCATGGAGATCTTCGATGAAAAACTTCATCCTCTCTCCGTAAGGGAGGGCTGGGAGGGGGGGGTGATGACGGCGGTGGCGGTGGTGGCGGTGTGACATTTGTGATGGTGCAATCATTTTGTGGTGTGGTGTTGATGTTGATGATAATGGTGTTACGATAATTGTGATGGCGATGTGGTGCTGTGACGATGGGATGCTGTCGTGTGACGTAGCATGCGTGTCGTGTGCCTGCTGTGTGCTACGCCGTCGTGCGACGGAGCAGAAGAGCGAGACGCCGGCTGATTACGAGAAGCACGAGCCGGACCACAAGCAGATCTACCGTTTCGTGCGCACGCTGTTCAACGCCGCGCAGCTCACCGCCGAGTGCGCCATCGTTACCCTCGTAAGGCCACGCAGCACTCGCCATGGGGCTGCGAGTCACCGCCGGGGTCAGGTGTCGTGACCGAACGCAACTCATCGCTCGCGTTCCTTGATCCTGTACGTCCCCCCGCGCCAGGTGTATCTGGAGCGGCTGCTGACGTACGCGGAGGTGTCCGTGTGTCCGGGCGGGTGGAAGCGCATGCTGCTGGGAGCCATCCTGCTGGCGTCGAAGGTGTGGGACGACCAGGCCGTGTGGAACGTCGACTACTGCCAGATCCTGCGCGACATCACGGTGGACGACATGTGAGCAGAGACCAAGCTCCCCCGTACAGCCTTGTATAGGCTGCTGGGGCAAGTGCTGTTAGCGAGCGCCTGTGACGGGCGGTGGGGCGAGTCTGTCCGCAGAGATGTGGCCACTGTTGAATTCCTCTCGCAGTGGTGCTCAGTTCTTCGTCCCCGGGGGGGGAATGGGTTGCGTCGACTCATCGAGATGTGGACTCGCAGCCTTCAGAATGCGAGCCTTGAAGTGGCGTGTCCGGATACATCCCTTGCATACGATCGCGTGCCGCTCAAAGTTCAAGAAGGATGGACGGGTTCACGAACCCACTCGCCGTGCCGATGTCTCCTTGCCACCTCGTAGCTCCGCGGGACTGGGATTTTCACCCGGCGAGACACTCGCCTGTCCGCCAGGCTCCATTCCGCTCCTGCGCCCAGACGTCGGGGAGTTTTACAAACAAATCTCCGCGTGACTCGCCAACCTTGCTTCGTAAGCGCTGCACGGCTGGCGCGGCGCCACTCGCGGGTGTGGAGTTTGGGTTCCGTGTTTGACTCGGCCCCCGTCGTTGGCACCCCCCACCCACCTACTCCCCAGGAACGAGCTGGAGAGACAGTTCCTGGAGATGCTGCAATTCAACATCAACGTGCCGTCCAGTGTCTACGCCAAGTACTACTTCGACCTGCGGTCGCTCGCCAACGACAACAACCTCAACTTCCCCCTGGAGCCGCTCAGCAAGGAGCGCGCACAGAAGCTTGAGGTCTCCGTCCCTCACACAGATACGCACGCACAGGCATGCACAGACACGCACGGACAAGCACAAACGCACAGGCACGCACAGACACGCACGGACAAGCACGAACGCACAGGCATGCACAGACACGCACGGACAAGCACGAATGCACAGGCACGCACAGACACGCACGCTCAAGCACGAACGCACAGGCACGCACAGACACGCATGCTCAGACATGCACAGATTCGCACGTACATGCACGCCCAGACATACAGACACAGATACAGATAGACATGCAGACAGATATACACAGACATGCAGACACACGCAGGCTCATACACATACAGATACTCTCGAATACACACAGACATGCAAATACACACAGGTACACACACATGCAGACACTTCACACAGACACGCACACATGTGTACATGCAGACACCACCAACAGCAGCCGCCATTTGACACTAAGTGATAGTGACGTCACCGCAGCGATTGTACCAGGCTAAATGCACTTTGAGGCCACATCAACTGCCAAGGCTTGCTGGCAGGAGATCATAGTACAGAGCCAATAGCATAATTCACGAGCCTCCTTCACAGAGGCCGATCTTGACACCGCTGGTATCATTGCCAAGCCCATTCAGCACCACATCTTACCATACGACATTGGCCAATCTCTTCCCTAGCCCCTACCATGCCTATTTAGCCCCCTCTCTGTGGTCAAACAGAACCTGCTTGGGCATGCGGTGGCTGGGCATGTGGGCTACATGACCCAGGTAGCGTAGGAGAAGCCTACTGTTGGGACTACTGCCAGCTCTTTCAAAGATCTTGTGAGATCACAAAATCCAGTCTGGTTCAATTAAAGATAGATCACAGACAGGCCAGCCTGAATGTTTTGAACTGGCACAGATGTTGATTTAAAGAGGTCCACGTTTCACAAGCATAGAGAAGACCTAGAGCTCATATAAAACAATAGGTTCGGTAGCTTTCACACAGCGTTATACAGCCAATTAAAAAATAATGCTGCTCGACTTGTTTGGAGCGAAACCTCTGCTGCCAAAGTGGAGCTGGTAAAAAGCACCACTGCCCAGGAACAGAAACTCCACTCTTCACAACTGTCCCATAACTCATGGGGAGTTAAGGGAGAGGAATATTTGAAGGCATAAAATACCGAGATACATACACACATACTTGAACACACAAACAGATAGACACAGCACGCACCGGCTAGTCACGCTGACTGGCCTTTGAGCCGTATGAGCTGCCTGGCTGGAGAGGAGGGGGTGGCATCTGGTGGTTGTGGGGCTGTGCTGCGTGTCTGGCTGACTGCCCGCGGTGACGTGCGTGGGTCTAGGCCATCTCTCGGCTCTGCGAGGACAAGTACAAGGACCTGAACAAGACGACGATGCGACGCTCAATCAGTGCGGACAACCTGGTGGGCCTGCGGAGAACCCACGCAGTGCTGTCTTAACCCCATCAACACCATCACGGCCATCACCTCCACCACAGTGATGTCCTATCCCCATCAACACCATCACGGCCATCGCTAACTCCATCATAAGCACCTCCACTCCCCTGCTGTTCTAACCCCACCATCACACACCCATCATCGTCATCATCACCGCCATCAAAACTGTGCTTTCCTTGCCCCATCACTCACATCATCATCATCTCCATCACTTCCACTCCATTGTAATCCCTAAGACCACTATAATCACAATCACTATTGTCATCAACACTATTACCACTGCCACTACTCCCTGCTTCTCTACATGTGCCACCACATCTCAGGCAGATGGACGGGGTTGGGAGGATGAGCAGGTTTCTGCGGTCATGGGTCAGACTTAATAGTGGATAAAAATAGGTGTGATGGGTAATGTACAGGAATGCCAGCTGACTGGAATTTAAGGCAAGAGGTATTAAGTATGGTCGGGGAGGACTGGGGGATTAGTGACTTCATTGTTTCGTGATAGACTAGAATATGGAAATGAGTCGTGATGGACTGGGGTGGAGGGTTTCAGGCTGGGTATGATGCGATGGTATGATGCGATGGTATCGCCGTGGAGAGACTGGGTCCATCCCAGCTACGCAGCCCACCCGGAGCTCTCGTTGCGTGGAGCGACTCTCCGTGAAGGTGCCGCCTCCTCTTGCTCGTGTGACGTTAACTCTGAAAACGTTGCTCATTCGCGGGCCAAGATTCGTGGACTTTGGATGACCCTGACCCCAGAGGGAGAACCCCCCCCACCTTGGGAGGAACCGGGGGGGGGGGGGGCCTGTACCGCTCGGGGACCTCCGGGGAGTACGGCGGTGGATTCCACTTGCTGTGCACCGCACGTGGCTCTGAAGTTTAATTCTGCCGTGGGAGGGGGGGGGGCGTGGAGGTGCGGGGGATTCAAGTGGTTGTGGTCGTGAAGATTGAGCTCCGGGCTCTTTGGAACTCGAGCGGAGCGTGGCTCAAGCGGCAGTTACCGATGGACGTAGCCAGCGGCACCAACCCCGAACCCTGGCCATGACCATGGCTCCGCGTGCCCAGCCCCAGCGTGGCGCTGTCATGCGGGGGGGGGGGGGGGGGTCAAGCTGGGCCACCCTGGAGCATGCCGCTCGGTCGCGCTACATCTCCCCGCCGCCTCCGAGACATTTCAGCCCGTTGGCCTGGCCCCCCATTGGCCGGGGGGCGCCTCCATTACTTTATTTTCTTATTGATGTTATTTTTGTTTTGTTATGGAAGTGATTTAAGTTACATTTGTAGGTTGATTTTAATTTTTTTTAAATGCAGTATTAGTAATTTCAGGTCCAATGTTTAGCGATGAGACCCGCGTGGATTCGGAAGGGGGGCAGTGGGAGCTGATGAATTGCACATCGGGGGCTGGAGGGGATCGGGGGGGGTGAGGGGGGGCGGAAATGTCACTGCCCACCCCCTGCCCCCCACCCCACGGCCCCGACGCCACTTGAACTCCACGTGCCCGCCGTGGATCCGACCCCGCGGCCCCTGCGCGTGACCGTGCCGCCTGCGAGTGCCGCTCCCCGTTCCGCCGCCGCGGCAGCAGCAGCAGCCGCTTGCTCAGAATCTGCGGTCTCCCCTGCGAAGCGGGCAGGGGCCCAGCGAGCTTCGCCTCCACTTTCTCGTGGGGTGCGTCGAGTCCACTGTTAATTTACGGCCATAACGTTTTACAATTTACTTTGCGCGCAGTTTTTTTTCCTCCAAATTTACGATTCTGGCGATAACAGCACACAAGTATCCTCTTACAATGACATCACAGGGTCTTTTAGAGTCCAATTTTACAGCAGACGACGATGCACTTTGGTAATTCCCGTGTAAGTTGCCGGGCAGCTGTATTGGGAATTGAACTGTGACCAACGTGCCGACTTGCCAGCTGTCCGCTCGCATTTGCCCGGCGCAGCGAGTGTTGCCAGCCGAATAAATGACCTGTCAGCCGAGGAGAAAGCCCGTCGGCCAGAACGCGCACGTGAGTTTACATGCGCATGCCAAGACAGTCGGCGAGGGTACGGGTGTTCAGGGCGCACTGCGTCATGGATGTTACCCACAATGCCACCCTCCATCACAGCAAGCACACGCAGCAGCCTGGCCGTAGCACCGGCTTCCATGAGCACTTGCGGGCCTCGTTCAGCCGAGTGGTGCTAATTGGACATGACGGACAACTGTCGGATTAACCCCGAATGGTGTTCATCGGTGCATCGCAGCTCAAATGTTGTCCGGTAGGAATGGTGCCTCTACGGGCGTGAGTGCAGGCGCGACTGATGGTGCTGCCTGCAGGCGTGGTCGTGGCAGTGCCGCAGCGAGGAGTGGAATCCGTGTTGGGCACCAGGCCGCTGTTGGGTGCCCTCTCTGATGAGGCCCTCTCTGATGAGGCCCGCGGGACAGCTGCGCGCTGCTCCCACGGTGCAGCCGGGGACGTCCTTCATCTTGGCGGTGGCGGCGGTAGCGGCGACGTGTCCCGTGAACAAAGTGTGGCGAGGGTCGTCGGTTTCATTGTTCGAAGTTTGCGTGCGCGAGTTGTGCCGAGTCGTCCGAAAGTGAAACAATTGAGTGTGGTGGGGTGAGGCAATGCGAGCCTTGGTAGGGGGGGGGCATCATCACCCTTCACACGGCACAACACCTCACCTCCTGTACCCAGGGTGGTGGTGGTGACGACGATGAGGGTGGTGATGATGAGGGTGACGACGATGAGAGTGATGATGAGGGTGATGATGAGGGTGACGAGGGTGAGGGTGAGTGACACTACTGCGCAGACCCTGAGTGGCTGGCGAGGGAGCGTGTTTTGTAACGTGAACTGTGCTAATGAATTTCAAGCCCAAATAATTGAGCTGTGACTGGCTAAATTGGCGCAAAACATATATATGCGGTATATATAAGAAAAGGTATATACAAATATATATTTTTATAACGATGTGTTTTTAAATGGCGGGGAAAGTCCGAAGTGACACGTGCGCTTTTGAAAATCAGAAGTGACGGTGAGTTGTAAATTTTCTCCTCGTGCTTCATCAAAACTTGATCGGGCTGAGTGGATGTGCGAACGTGGTATAATATCAGCTGAATGTACAAGTCAGTTTCCATTTTTGAAAGAAAAAATCGCATAAATAAAACATTTGTTGGCCAAGGAATCGGAGATCCCAGAAATATTTTCTACCAACGAGGCAAGCGGTTTCTAGAGCTTTCTACCTCCAAGTTTGTCGTCTTAATGTAAATAACTTTTTACTGGGAGGAGCAAATAAACGCCAACTTTCAAAGCCCCGTCTCGCCGTGCGTTGTTGCACTGCCGCTGCTGCTGCGCTGTCGTCTCTACCAGTCGCAGTCCGACTGCACGTCGAGGTTATCCAGTCCATCGCCTCTCTGCAGCAGCAACACGAGACGAAGTCTGCTGCAGAACTGCCGGAGACTCGAGGATGGATCCCGAACATCTGCCAGTAACTGGCTCCAAGTTGTTCGGGCCAGAGACGTCGTTGAAATGGCAACATCATCACTCTGGGCCGCGGATCGTAGCGTCGATTGGCATCCATTGCGTACGATCCGCACTGCGAGTCGAGTTCTGATGGAGAAGATTGATGCGGACGCTTGTAGAGGAGTGAACGTAGAGTGTAAACCGATGTGCGGTAGGAAGCCACTGTAACCCATTTTCCACTGAGGTGATCACAACTATCCGGCGTGCCGCGGCACTCCACCAATTGGAATGAATGCAGATGGACAGCGCCTGGTGCAGCTGAACACGCTGCTGCTGCTGAACACGCTGCGCTGCTGTTGCAGCTGCTGCTGAACACGCTGCTGCAGCTGCTGCTGCTGTAGCTGAATACGCCGCTGCTGCTGCAGCTGCACACGCTGCTGCAGCTAAAGTTTATGTCACTGATGACGAATGCCTGGGTAATCAGCCACAATGTACAGCATGGTTCTCTGTAGAGCTCCTAGACTGCTCCACACCTTTCTATGACTGTTAGAACATTCGTGCGATGTTGAAATTCTTAAATCGTTTAACCTACGGACCAATTTTCTCTACTTCAACGTGTTGGCCCTAGCATTGCTAATCAGCTCTAACACATACAAGAGCCTCGTGGTGATGCGAGCCGTTTTAAAATGGTACAATGGAAGGCATGTTGTTGGAGAGTGCCGCTCGTGGCCGCAGGGGGAGGAGGCGGCTGTTGAATCTCAATTAGCTGCCGACTAAAACAAAACAATCAGCCGAGAGCTCATTGGGAGCAGAGCTGCCTTCGGGGCCAGTGACGCATGTTCCACACATGTCGGCAGTTTAGACTTGTGTGGGACTGCTTTATAAAGAACCGCAGACGACGCTCCTAATTTTAAAGCGTAGAAATTAGCGTGTGCTGACTTGGCAGATTGTCGGTAATTACAAAACTAAACATAAGTAAACAGACAGGGGTCTGTTAGTCCCTTCAGCCAATGGGAGTTTTGGAGCAATGTTTTCCATAAAGCAGTTCCGAGGGAAATTTCTGGGGCAGATTCAACATTTGTGTCTCATCAGCAATGTGTGGATCCTTGAACACCTGTGACAAAGAGCTGCGTAGCTCATCGGATTCCTCCAGAATAAATAATAAATATTCTGAAAGAAATGCAGTCGGATCACGAAGACCCGTAACTGAGTCGCCTAATGCAGTTTCGCTCACGACTGGTTTAGGAAGAGGACCGCTTTGGCTGTCGGATGGGGCCGTCGCCACCCTGCGTGCAGTAACAACTTGCCTCCTTGGGCAACGAGAGTGACTCACGTCGGACTGAGTGAAGGACACCACCGCGAGTCCCTGGAGCGCACGGGGGGCGTGGTGGAGACGGGGAAGCCGCGGGAATTTGAGCTCGGCTGCCTTTAATCTCGCGACAAATGAAGCGCCATCGCATGCAAGAACCGAGCGGTAACACTGACACGGGGCTACACGTGCGGTCACGAGCCCGGGGGGCCCGGCAACGCTGGGATGCATGCCGCCGCACTGGGCTCCAGCGATGCGGTTCCCTCCTGCACGCTGTTCAGGTTCTAGAAGTCCACTTTGATTTTAAGGAAAGCGGAGGTCAGGGGCCGAGGATTCGTTTGTCGGGGAAGGAGAAACTTGAGGCTGGCTGCTCGTCACCACGCCATCAGATGCCTCCCCCCGCGCAATCGGCGTTAGATTTGCGTGACGTGGGCTCCTCGCAGGATGCTGGATGCTCAAGCTCCCCAGCTCATGAAACCGCATTAACAACAGCAATAATAATAACACAATCGGCCACATAGGCCACTAATAGACATTTACACGACTTTGGCTCTTCATCAGGTATGGTGCCGTGCTGTCTGTGGTGTGCGTGTGGTGTTGTGAGCTATCTCCCCGCCCCCCCAGTAGTTAGTGTGGTGAGATATCCGCGGTAGTCGTGGTGAGTGTGGTGAGTGTGGTGGGTGTGGTGGGTGTGGTGAGTGTGGTGAGTTTGGTGAGTGTGGTGAGTGGTGGTGATTCTGGTGAGCTATCCGCGGTAGTCGTGAGTGTGGTGAGTGGTGGTGATTCTGGTGAGCTATCCGCGGTAGTCGTGGTGAGTGTGGTGAGTGGTGGTGAGTGTGGTGAGTGTGTTGAGCTATCCGCGGTAGTTGGCGTGTATCTCGGGCCGCACGTCCCACACCATGGCGAGGAGGCGGCGCAGCACGGGGTCGCGTGCCTCTCTCTGCCGCGCGTGCATCGCGTGCACCCGGCCACGCGTCTCCTCCTGGATGCGCGCCGACACATCTCCCTGGGAGCCCAGCACCTGCACAACCACAACAAGAACCACAACAATCACAAACACAATTACGAACAACTCTTAAACAATAATCGCAACACCCACAATAACAACGACAACCACATCTACAATCAATCACAACCTCAATAATCACAAACGACATCCAGAATCACAATTGCAACATCAATAATTCCAACAAAATACAATTGCCACAATCAACAAAACGACCACACGCAATCACAATCACAACCACTAAAACAAGTAAACCTACACTATGTTACACCACACTACGCCGATCAATGCTTCAATGAGACCATCACCGCGTCCTGCTTGCTGTGTCACTGTGTCATTCAGTGTGTCACTGCGTGTCACTGAGCGTGTCACTGCGTGTCAGAGCGTGTGTCACTGCGTGTCAGAGCGTGTCTCACCGTGTCCTGCTTGCCCCGGAACTCTGCGTCGCGTTGCTGCCGGTACTGCTCGATCTCAGCCTGTGCCTCCTCCTTCGCCTGACGCAGCCTGCGAGCCTTACCTGTGGGGTGGCCAGTGCCAGCATCATCATCATCATCAAGTCTACCACCACAATCAGCATCAGCAATACCATTACCTGCGCAATCAGAATCATCACCATCGCAGCAGCAACACTACGACCACAATAATTATCATCAGCACCACGAGAACCATCGCAATCAGAAGCAGTACTACCACCATAATTACATCAGCAGCCATTTAATAGTTGCCATGGTGATAATGTAGGTGGTGATTGCCATGGCTGTCATGGTGGAGGTCGTTGCCATGGCTGTAATGGAGGTGGTTGTTGCCATGGCTGTAATGGAGGTGATGGTTGTTGCCATGGCTGTAATGGAGGTGGTGGTGGTTGCCGTGGCTGTAATTGAGGTGGTGGTGGTTGCCATGGCTGTAATGGAGGTGGTGGTTGTTGCCATGGCTGTAATGGAGGTGGTGGTTAGCCATGGCTGTAATGGAGGTGGTGGTGGTTGCCATGGTTGTAATGGAGGTGGTGGTTTGCCATGGTTGTAATGGAGGTGGTGGTGGTTGCCATGGTTGTAATGGAGGTGGTGGTGGTTGCCATGGCTGTAATGGAGGTGGTGGTGGTTGCCATGGCTGTAATGGAGGTGGTGGTGGTTGCCATGGCTGTAATGGAGGTGGTGGTTGCCATGGTTGTAATGGAGGTGGTGGTGGTTGCCATGGCTGTAATGGAGGTGGTGGTGGTTGCCATGGCTGTAATGGAGGTAGTGGTGGTTGCCATGGCTGTAATGGAGGTGGTGGTTGTTGTTGCCACGGCTGTTGGCTGGACTCACGCTTGCGCGCCTCGGCCACTCGCTCCGCCGCGCGCTTCTCGGCGTGCAGCAGCTGCTGGATTCCCTGCGACTGACTCGCCATGGCGGGCGGCAGCACGAGGCGGGTGAGAGGCGCACGGGGCAGAGAGCGGAGACGATGGCGACCGCGGGGCGGCTCCTCCTCACGTCTCCCGAAGCAGCAGCAGATGGACCACGTCACGTGACGCGGGCGAGCCCCGCCTCGCCAAACCACGTGCTCGCCCAACCGTGCCCCCCCCCTCCCCTCTTTCCACGCAGCTTAACCACGTGATCCACATACCAACCACGTGACTACGGGACCCCCCCCCTCCCTCCCCCGCCATATGTAAACCTCGCGGCCATCTTAGCCCCCCGGGGTAGGAGGAGGCTGCGGAGCGGCCACGCCGAGAGGGCGCGTGGAACATTCTTCTAACATCTAACGCATTACCTCACGCACACACGCTTATGTTAGGAGTCGTCCATAAATGACGTCACGCGATTTAGGACGATTTTTGACCCCCCCCCTTCGTCACACGGCGTCACAGTCAGACCCCCCCCCCTCAAATGTGACGTCACAAAGCTCTGCCCCCCCCCCCTCAAAAAAATAAAACATGCTTCAAATCGCTTTAAACTATTGTCATTGTAGTGCGTATTTAATGTGGCGCTGCACTATGATGTTGTAGGAGAAAACATTTATTAAAAAGTAGATTTAATTAAGTAGAACGTGTTGTCTATAGTTATTTAAAGTTGCGCATTTTGATGTGACGTCACATTTCTCACCCCCCATCGTCACAAAATGTCTGACCCCCCCACTAGGTGCGTGACGTCATTTATGGACGGCCCCTTATTCTTGGTGGCATTTAATGTTTGCATTCACAAACAAACTGAACACATCCGTCAACAACACTTCGTGTGGCCTTGAAAGGGAAACCAAATATAGAATGGGCGACGTTTTGGGCAATGGCCCTTCGCGAGGCGCTATGGAAGGGCCATCAGCTGGTGCCCAGGCGCGCTCCGTCCCCCCGCCGCCGAGCGGCAGCCTCCTCGTCCTCCTCGTCGTCCTCCTCCTCCTCGTCCTCCTCGTCGTCCTCCTCCTCCTCCCAGGATGAGAGCGGCAGCTCCGCGTCCATCGCCAGGGACAGGAGGAGGAGGAGGCGAAGCGGGTTGCGTGCCAGCGCCACGGGGCTCGTCTTGCAGCCACCGCCCGGCTGATGGTGATGCTGATGATGGTGCTGATGATGCTGCTGCTGATGGTGATGATGCTGCTGCTGCTGATGATGCTGCCGCTGATGGTGATGATGCTGCTGATGATGCTGCCGCTGATGGTGATGATGCTGCTGCTGCTGATGGTGCTGATGATGATGCTGCTGCTGAGTCGGCAATGGTGCTGCACGCGGTACAATTAACGTCGTCGACACGTTCACCAGCAACAACTCCGTCGCCTTAACACTGACAAGTACGACATGAGACGTTTCGATCAATGACTCCCTTTAATTGCAATAGTTTGAGGCAGGAGGAGGGTGATGGTGGCGATGGTTTTAGAATGATGGTGATGGTGGGTCTCTTTTAAGTGGTGAGTGATGTTTTTTGTACTACGGTGATCCTTGATTGTGCGTCTGGACTGTGAGAGCAAGACTGAGAGTGAAACCATCTTCTTGGTTCTTTCGGTAAAGTCACGTAGAATGGAAATAATAAAATAATGAAAATAAAACATCAAATAATTCTCGCGACGTTTCGGCCACAACGCAAGCAGCCGTCCTCAGGTGAAGAGCAGGTCTGTCGAGGAGACAGCGTCTGAATGAAACACCACCAAGCTTGGAGCGTCTATATAAGCTGCTGGGTTGGAGGGGGAAAAGCGCCCTGACAAAATAATTTTCATATCAAGAGTAATTTAGCATATTTATGGGAAATTAGTACTACTTGTGATATGCGATTAGTACAAGCAGTACTAATCGCATATCTGTATTTACCCTAAAGATGCAGAATTCTTCTTGATATGCAAATTATTTTGTCAAGGCGCTCTTCCCCGTCCAACGTGACTTTACCGAAAGAACCAAAAAGATGAATCCCTGCAGTCACGAAAGCTTTAAATCGAAAAGTGAAACCATTCTTAACGCGAATCACGAAGCGAAGGGCCCCACAGGGAAGGGCTTGGATCACGGGGCTCTCTGTGGGAGACGGGAAGTGACACGAGTGGAGGGGGGGCAGAGGTGGCCGCCTGCTGCCGATGATGTGGCCGGGAGGAGGCGGCGATCGAGGGAAGGTCCGCGTCGAGTATCAGAGAGGGGGAGGCATGGGGGAGGGAGACGGGGGGAGGAGGAGTGTTGTGGAGGGGGGGTGGTGGTGGTGGAGGAGGAGTGAGGGGAAGGTGGTGGAGGAGTGACGTAGGGCGAGGGGAGGTGGTGGTAGAGGAGGAGGAGTGATGCTGATCTGCAGGGGGAGGAGTGATGTGGAGGGCGAGGGGAGGAGGAGGAGTGGATGATGCTGATCCGTAGAGGGGGTGAGGAGGAGGATTCTGTGTGCGGAAGAGAAGGGTTGCCCGGGTCGTCGCGATGGCCATGAAAGGTGAGAGGAGGCTTCGCTCCCCATGGCGGGGCAGAATCTGCGTCTCTCTCTCTCTCGTGTCTCCGTCCCACTCCCGGGCTCTGCGTCTTTGTTGGCCTCCTCCTCCTCCTCGTCGTCGTCGTTGCGTGTGGACAGGGGGGGTGCAATGTGGGTCACCGCTTCTCCGGGCCGTGTGGGGTAGTAGAAGTAGATGATTATATCCCGAGTCGTGCTCCGTGCTGCCGAGTTAATTTAGTATCGCAGACGACGACGACGACCGTCGCCCAACTTGTGTGGAGTTAAACTTTGAGGAGCACAATGGCGAAGCCTCCTCCTCCTCCACACGGAGACACGTCCTGCGGTCAACGACCACGGCGGCGGCGATGGTGGTCATCGTGATTGCGATGGTTGCGATGACGGTGATTTTGGTGATGGGAGTGATAATGTTTGCTACGATGGTGGCCGTGATGATGGCGGTTATGATTGCGATAGTGGTGGCTGTGATGATAGTGGTGGTGATTGTGATGATAGTGGTGGTTGTGATGATAGTGGTGATGGTGGTAATGATAGTGGTGATGGTGGTGATGATAGTGGTGGTGGTGGTGATGATAGTGGTGGTGATTGTGGTGATGGGATAGTGGTGATAGTGGTGATGATAGTGGTGATGGTGGTGATGATAGTGGTGGTGGTGGTGATGATAGTGGTGATGGTGGTGATGGTGGTGATTGTGATAGTGGTGGTTGTGATGATAGTGGTGGTGGTGGTGATGATAGTGGTAGTGGTGGTGATGATAGTGGTGGTGGTGGTGATGATAGTGGTGGTGGTAGTGATGATAGTGGTGGTGGTAGTGATGATAGTGGTGGTGGTAGTGATGATAGTGGTGGTGATTGTGATGATAGTGGTGGTGATGATAGTGGTGGTAGTGATGATAGTGGTGGTGGTTGTGATGATTCTGGTGGTGGTGGTGATGATAGTGGTGGTGATTGTGATGATAGTGGTGGTGGTGGTGATGATAGTGGTGGTGGTGGTGATGATAGTGGTGGTGGTAGTGATGATAGTGGTGGTGGTAGTGATGATAGTGGTGGTGGTAGTGATGATAGTGGTGGTGGTAGTGATGATAGTGGTGGTGATGATAGTGGTGGTGATTGTGATGATAGTGGTGGTGGTAGTGATGATAGTGGTGGTGGTTGTGATGATGGTGGTGGTGGTTGTGATGATGGTGGTGGTGGTAGTGATGATAGTGGTGGTGGTGTGATGTAGTGGTGGTTGTGATGGTAGTGGTGGTTGTGATGATAGTGGTGGTTGTGGTGATAGTGGTGGTGGTTGTGGTGATAGTGGTGGTGGTTGTGGTGATAATAGTGGTGGTGGTGATTGTGATTATAGTGGTGGTTGTGATGGTGGTTGTGATGATGGTGGTGGTTGTGATGATTGTGGTGGTGGTTGTGATGGTAGTGGTGGTTGTGATGATGGTGGTTCTTGTGATGATGGTGGTGATCGTGATGATAGTGGTGGCGGTGGTGGTTGTGGTGGTGAGAGAGGCGAGTCACGAAGAGGTCCCGGTGGTGGTTGTGGTGTCGCTTCCAGGAGCTGCTCTTTGTCTCGAGCCCGTGGCCTCTGGGAGACCTCCACACCGAGTCCACAAACACCCTCTCTCGCCTCCAGGGCCCTCTGTACAAGAGGGTGTTTGGCCTACCCTTCCCACGCTGACACAGAGACCCACACTATCCCACCACGAGCGACATTCCTGTCTGTATTGCATCACTTGCAACAATGGGACAAGCAGCATTATAATTAATTAATGTACAGCATAAATGTGTTGAGTGCATCGTCATCTGTGCCACTACGTGCAGTGTCAAAGATCAACTCGTTTCTTCAGAACTCCTCTGTGTTTAGTTTGTTGTCCTTCCCCCTGGTCGGCTACGTATGGTGCGAAAGAAGTTCAAGGAGTCCTGATCATGATGCGCCCTGAAACTGATCTACTTCACGACACGATTCCCGAAGCCCCGATGTTCATGGTCACCCGGCTTTGTTGTTGTTGTTGTCCTGTTGACAGCTCTACTCGGGCTGTCGTTCGGAGGGGCTCTGGGCCTCGTGCTGCTGGGCCTCGCCTGCGCCCTGCCCATGTACAAGTGAGTGCGCCTCCCCCCCCCCCCCCACACAACTTACAACAATATAAACAATGCCTTTTAGTGACAGCAACCTACAGACACACACAGACACACAGCCTGAACAGTAGGGGCTAGTGCTGTTAGCGAGCCCCTCTGAAGGTAGTACTCTATCTATACAAAGATCCCCCGTATGGCCTTAACAGACTGTAGGGGCAAGTGCTGTTAGCGAGCACCTATAAAGGCTGGCACAGCACACGAGGGGGTGGGTAGCCAACACCACGCCCGGCCGCCTTTGTCTCCCTAGTAGCGATGTTTACACACCGCACCAGCTACTCATTTGAGGCTGAGTCGACCTAGGGGAGGCCCTGGACCGGTTCAGATAATCGTCACCGGTGTTGGCCGTGAGCGGGAATCGAACCCGGGTCCCCAGGTTCAGAGCGCAGCGCGCTAACCGCTACACCACCACTCCCCACACTACCACTCTATATCTATACACACACACCCACACACCACGGTGCAAGGCCGTGCCGGGTTTAACGCAGGCGCCGTGCGTCTGCCTGTGCCCCCAGCGTGTTCTGGCCGCTGCTGGTGCTGACGTTCCACGCGCTGGCGCCCGTGCCTGAGCTGCTGTGGCGCCGTGTAGGTCGCGACTCGGACACAGGGAGCAGCTTGGGGCGAGAGATCGCCCTGTTCCTCATCGCCGGCGCCGTCACCAGCGCGTTCGGGCTGCCCATCGTCCTCGCGCACGCAAGCGTCGTAGGGCATCGCCTCCACTACAACCACCGCCACAGCCAACGCCACCACAGTCATCGCCACGCAACCAGCAACATCACTACCATAAGCGCCTACATCACATGCCCTTATCAACAATGCAACCAGTTAAACCACACACCTGTAACCCCCATCACACCACACCTCTAACCCGCATCACACCGCACCAGGTACTCCTTTGAGGCCGAGTCGACTGAGGGTCGACCAGAACTGATCACCAGTGTTGGCTGTGAGCAGGAATCAAACTCGGGTTGCCGAGTTTGTTCGTCGTGCAGCGCGCCATCCGTTACACTCCCGCGCGCACCTTCACGTGCATCGCCACATCCACACGACCTGTGTTGAGGCGCGCGTGTCTGTCTGTGTACGTGCGCCTGTAGATTAAATGGGGCGCGTGTGGGCTCACGTTGGCTGGAAACGCCGTCCTCTTCAGCACGGTCCTCGCCTTCTTCCTCGTGTTTGGGCAAGAAGACGACATCGGCTGGAGTCAATGGTGACTCCTCGTCCGGCCTCAACGTTCCTCGCTCTATAAACATTCGTCCTTTTTATACGTTTCTTTAAACAACGTTTTGTAATGTGCAGGCCTCCTGATAGCGTATGCACTTAGTAGACAAAATACATAGGTTGGTCTTTAGCATCCCTGGACAGAGAGGCCACAGAGGACACGACCTCCTGTCTCTACATGCAATAATTTCCACGTCCTGAGCTTGGCAAACGTCACGTGACATATCTTTGCCACTCCCCAGGGCCTTGTAATAAACCCATCTGAGACACTTTTTTTGGTCAAGTTCTAGGCAAGAGCAGGTTGGTGGAAAAGGGACAAAAGTGAAATGTATTTCATAGTTTGTTTTTGTAGAAAATGTTAAATGATGCTCAAAGTTAAGTTTCTTTGAAAGTATGGCCCACCGTTAAGTGAGAACATGGTGACACGAAACACTAATGTGGGGTCAGTGACCTGGCTACTAAGGAGATGTGGTTGGCCTATTGGCTGACACACAATCTTTTAAAGTGGTTGGCTAAGGGCACTGCTACTGGAGGGCAGTGACCCCCACAAATCTGAATCTTTATACTGGAGCAATCCAATGAGCTATAAAGCTATTTTTCACGGATGACACAGAATACCCAATGCAAGCATTATCAATGGTAATGTTCCAAAATTGTTTACACTTTGTGCCTTTCCTTTATAGTAGTGGCTGTGACATCCATCCCTATCCTCCCATACAGTATCTCCATGTTTACCAAAACTCAATGCCGCACGGAATTACCAAAGCACATTGTAAGCTGTGAAGCAGACATTAAAGACCCTGTGACCTAATTCACAAGATTGGGCTACTGGGTAATTCACCGTTTCAGTCGCTAAAGATTATTGCGTCCTGGGGGCTAAATGATGGACTATAACAACCACTGCCTTCACCTCATTACTTCCAGGTGAGGATTATTTACTCGTGGTGAAGATGTGATGCTGATAATGATGGCAATTAATGATTGTGTTAACCATATTTAAACATTTGTGTACCCGTTGGAATAAAAATTCTCTGTTGGGACTTTGGTGTTTACCATCTGTTCACAGGTGCAGATAAAACCCTAGCCCACGTGATATAAGAGCAGAATATATTGACACGTTAGGTGTTCAGCAATGCACAACATCGAATCGTGGTTACAAGAACCAATTATTTTTGTAGAGGCACTGTCCTGTACATATTGTAATTGAGGCGCTGCTCCAATGAATTGTCACGAATTTCGACACTCCCGCAAATTGCCACGAGGAGAATCGATGCCAAATTAGAGATGTCGCATTTTGAAATTGGTTTTGACCGTCTTGTCAACTTTCTAACCCAAATAAAGATGGCATTCCCCAGTCCAGCGGCGGCTCACGATACAGCGACAGTCAACCCACACGCCGACGGCTCCGTTGACACATCCACTTCGTCCACCAGTGCATTTCCAAAAAAAATCATGATTCCTCCATGAACCCTTTTACAACGCCGAATTATTCAGTGTATTGAGATCCGCCAGAAACTCGATTCCTACCTTTGTGACGTTTAATGAGTTTTTATTCTAAATGTAGAAGTGACTGGCACAGTGGCGATACAAGATCATTATTTACAGAATCACTGAGATTTACAAAACCGCCACATTCTCACCAGCCAACTTCTATTGCACCCTCCCAGCAAAACACGTCTCTTCGTCACTGAAGGCAATTGGCAACAATACCTTGCATGTAAACCACAAGGTTTGCATATGAAAGAGTGCAGCGCTAAGAATGCTCAGGCCCCGAGATAACATTGCCACTTGACATGGACGATAATTTAAAAACTTCCCTTTATTTCCAAAGGAAAACTTGAGTCTTAAGACTCATTTCCATGAGGCTCCAATTTCATCTTGTTTGGCTTCGTATGGGAGGCAACCAACAACCCACGCACGCACGCAACACTCAAAGCTCTGCAGTTCCAAAAATCGTTGTCCTGTACTCCCCGTCTGGTCACCCCGGCTCAAGTCTCCCATCCACACACTCGCCAGGATCAACCCCCGTGTGCTCTCAACCGTCGGACGAGCTCGGAAGCATCCAGAGCGGTACGGTCAGAACCAACATCTGATGTTGTCGACTTCATCCCCACTACTGTTAATAAGCAAACGCGTAAATATCGCGTGGTGCTTCATGCAGCTAATGGCACGGGGCGAACCAGTGGGCACGGATGGGCGCCCTCTCGTGGCTGCGGAGAGAGGGCACCCACGCGCGTGCGAGCCTCACCCTGCCCCTCCTACACAGAGCTTCGTTTCTCATTCAAACAATCTTCTGAGCCGCAAGTCGGCTGGAGGAAGCACATGACGAGCAGCGACAGCCATAGTGAAACGTATACTGCATGTGGTGCATCGGGTGCAGAAATATTGTGTGGTAGGCTGCGCTAGGTGGCATGTGACGAGTAGCCAGAGGGAGCGGTCGACAGTGATGGATGCGTGGCGTGCCAGAATCATTCCTCGGTCACCGAACCGGACTTAGCTCAAAACTAAGCTCAGGTCTTGTGCTTTGCCAAATCTTTGCCCTGAAGTCGGCACGACGCTACGGTCTGGTGACCATAAACGCACACCTCCACTCCGCCTGGGCACTTGCACCAGTAATGTTAAAAACAAATTAACAAACCCCAAAAAATGAGCACACGAACACAACCCCGCGGTGGTCACGATCCACACCCCAGGCTCGTGCACGAAACACGAACGCGTCACAGCACGCCGGGGTGGCAGAGCGAGAGTCGCCGCCACTGTGACCACGAGGCCCGCCCGCGCGTCAGTGGCCGAAACCGCTCGCTCGCTACCACGTCGCCACCTACTGGAAAGGCGATTACGACAGGGCCCTCTGACGTCATTGCTACGGACAGGTAGCTTGTCGTCGCCCAAAACTCAAAACGTGAATTGCACCAGAAACGAAGTTTTAACAAATACAGAGAAGACAAAATATGCCCTTGGCTACTTGGTCTCCAGGTCTCCCTGTAACACGACCGCGACCCAGTGACCCCGAGCAGAGACAGCCCTCGTGCCAGGCCACACCGCGGCGCAGACGCGGCCCCTCGGCAGCGCCTTCGCCGCGGTTCGATGTGGCAGGCCGCCCCGATTCACAATGCAGGTGTCGTCATTGTAAAATATGCGCAGTCTGCTTCACAGGAGACATTAAAGATTCCCTGACTTCATTCAAAATGAGTAGGCGCTCATGTGCCGGCATCACGGCCAAAATAAAAAAAATTACCTGCAAACTACTCAATTGGGATTACACAGCAGAAATCATTGTCCCCCTATTCCCAGACTAATGGCCGAATGCAGCCAAGGTGCTGAATGACCTTGTGCCCTACTGGGGGTGCCCTTTTAAAAGAGTTAAATGTAAATTACTTGTTGTGTATAAAGCGCTCTGAGACGCACCCAGCGTAAATGAGGGCGGCTCCATCAAACAAATCATCAACAATGCCGATAACATGTGCGGAGGACTGTATGTACTCCCAGATGTGTTCATTACAGACGCACGTGGGCATGGTGGGTGTGCGAGTCTGGGTAGGCTTTGGTCAACTCCCACAAAACCTACCGTGTCGTGTTGAACCTTGCACCCCGCACTGAGTGGCTCAGCGATGAAGAACGCACACAGATTGACTGAGCTTCTGAACACGCGAATATAAATTTGATTAAAGCGTAAAGATTGTTTGATTTTTCCACGTAAAACCTCCAACGATGCGGCAGAACAAGTCTTCACGTTATTTTTGTCGCTGTCAAAAAATTGTGTCCGCAAGCGCCCCAGGCGAGGGGTCTGCGAGGTCGTCACCACTCGAGTGTAAAACTCCCCCATCACCACGCAAGTCGAGCGCGTTCGATATGGGCACTAGTCTCTGCAGGTGCCCACGGGTGTTGCAATGCACGGGGCAATGGGGCCACCATGGAGCAGCAGCCGACGGAGATGAGCGGTAAACGAACGATGCGGTAGGCGAGCGAGGGGTTGATCAGACAAGCTGGTAGGTGCACGAGTAGGTAGGTGTGTGAGCTGTTAGGCGAGCGAGCGAGCAGATGAACCAGTGGGTGAGCGAGCAACCGGGCGAGTAGGCACACCCCAGATGCGAGCCGGCAGGTTCTGGCGGGGTCCCTACTGCTGCAATTGGCTCAGCTCGGGGCAGCTGCTCGATAGCTGCTGGAGCTGGACGTCGACGCGCGCCCGCCGATGCCGTTGGAACGCGCGGGCGCCCGTGAAGCCCAGCAGGCCCCCGCCCAGCGCCGCCGCCACCCCCGCCACCTTGAAGCCGACGAGCATCCCCACGGGCCCGCCCAGGATGCCGCCTAGCACCGCCCCCGCCACCGGCAGCATCACCGTCCCAGACTTGGCTGCCTGTGGCATATGAGAGGGGAGTTGATAGTGAATGGGTGTGTGAATGGGTGAGTGAATTGGAGAGTGGGTGATTGAGAGCGATTGGACGTGCGAGTGTATATGTGGCTGAGTGAGTGAGCGGGTGAATACTGGGCGAGCGAGCAGTTAACTGGGTGAGCAAGTCAACAACCGAGTGGGTGAGCGAGTGAGCGAGTGGCATGGTGAGAGAGTGGTCGGAACGGACCTTGCCGATCTGCTTCGTTCCTTGCCGTACGTTGTCAGAGGCCATCTCCAACTTGTCCTCGATGGAGTCGATGGTTTCTTGCTGGTTCTGAGGAGCACATGCGAAGCAACACTTCTAAATCGGCCTCGGCGACAAAACCACTCATGCGCTCAACCTCGAAAGGAGCCGCAAAGATTTCCCATGGCGTATGAGTCTGCAGGCTCATGATCTGTTCTCATCACGAGATGACGCGAATTCATCTCACACGTGCAGAGTGTGAGATAACACTCGTGCGGCAATAATTACAGTGGTACGAGGTGGTGCAAGGTGGTGCGGGGTGGTGTATGGTGGTGGTGCTAAGTGGTGTATGGTGGTAGTGCTAGGTGAGGTGGTACTAAGTGGCAAACACACACACAAAGTCCCACTAGAGTGGCACAGCGCTAAGAGTGAGAAGGTGGAATTCTGCACGTACATGCACCATGTACGAGAAGTCGGTGACCAGGGAGTTCAGCTCCGTTAATTCCTGGGGAGAGGAAGAGAGATGTTAACTCTTGCATGCGACGTAAATTCAACGCAGATTTACTGCAGTGCTTTGTTGTGAAGGCCGATCACAAAATCATTCTTGGCTACGTTGTTGGTGGCAGAGGGTATTGTTGTAACGCACGCCTGTGTTCCCACATCAATGATCCCCATCTTCACCTACCAACAATGTGGTGAAGTATGGTCAAATAATCCCCAAACCGCACGCGGCATTGGGAGTATCCAGCAGCGGATTGACAAAGGGTCCGTTAGTGCACATGTTCTGTAACGTGGACAATGAGGGCCACGTGATGTCACTGCTCAGTGGAGGCCGCTGTCATCATTCAGGCCAGAGCGATGGCGACAAGCGAGGGACTCTGGGGCAACCTCGCACAGGTGCTCCCACGACTCGGACGCATCCTCCTCCTGTGGGATCTCGTGCAGCGCAAGCAGCTGATCCTGCAGCTGCGGCGATGAGGGGGGCGTCGAGGGTGGCCCTCCTCGCTCCCCTGCCCCCTCCGTGGGCCCCGATGCGGCGTCGTCACGGACCAGCAGCTCTGTCGACACCACGGACAGACGGACAGAACGGACGGACGCGGTGTGAATGAAACTTCGCAAACACCCTGTGTGACGCTGCGTTATTTAGAGAGTGCCTCGGTCAAGGAAGGAAGGAATTGGCAAAATTCGTCATCATCTTCATAATTGTGTCTACATTATAAACATGTGGTTTTACTTTGAGTCAGTCTGTCAATCACAGAGTCAATTAAGGGCTCGTTCAGACACGAGAGAACCGGGGACATACGATGCTGATAATAAGCTACCTACGGCCTCTACCCAATGTCAGTAACAAAGTGACCGAGCGGCATTTTAGACTGCTACGGGGCTACGAGTCAGCAGAAGGCAGTGCAGCAAATTCCACTGTTGTACTTTACTGCACTACGAAGTCTACGCTCCCCGCCTTTGCCAACTCGGACTGACCGGCGTGGCGAAGGGTGGTCAAATGACCCCCACGTGCGAACGCGCAGGCTGACCGGTGAAGTCGCTGGTGGAGCGCGTCATTCTGGACGCCGCTCCTTCCCGTCCCTCGTCGCGCCCGTGCACGTCGCAGGGCGGCAGCGAGGAGAACGCGGGGGGGCAGCTCGTGGCGGGGTCGCGCAGGAAGGCGGCGATGGCGGAGGAAGCGAGGTCGCGTGCCGGCTGCACAATGTGCTCGAAGGCAGCGCCGTCGGCTTTGCGCAGCAGCAAACGAAGCTTTTCCATCTCCCGCACGTTAAACTGCAGCTGCTGCACACGGCAAAGCCACAGCCAGGTCACCACCAGTATGGGCCTCGTCGACAGGAGTGACGAACCGTGCTCTCGTCAATGACCCCACTGCCGCCCTCAAACAGGTTTCGAGCCCTGGCTTGTCGTGCATGGGCCCCACCAGAGATTCATCTCTCACTGAACGTGTTCCAGGTCTCTGGTCAAGCATAGTAGGCACGTGAACCATAGCCACAGAAATGATCTCCAAGGTAACATTCATACATTGCACAAATCGTAAACATTACATGTTAAGCAATATTCAACGCTTGTACCGTGAGTGCAAAACGGATTTTGTCCAATATACCATGACATACGCCCAGTTAAATGGGTACATGGTTGTCATGTAGGACAACAGATACACTGCACTGATAATCTCTAAGAGTGGAGAAGCTGCTGTACAACTGCTTCAGCACACGTCGCGTTTTGCTGGTGGCTAGCGCCATGTGTGCGTGCGTGTGTGAGTGCGGGAGTGTGCGAGTGCATGGGGGAGGTTGTGTGGTTTGTAGTTTCCTCGTTGCGCCTGCGCTGGGTGGAGGCGTGAGGTAGACGTCCCGTGCGCTCACCTGCACGGTGCGGCTCGCGTTGATCTGCTCCTGGTGGAGCAGTTTCCAGTCCTGCTGGTTGTTGTACTTTAAAAAAACACACACAGACACACTAAAAACAAAGCTCCCCCTTACAGCCTTAACATACTTTTAGGAAAAGTGCTGTTCGCGAGCACCCATGAAGCACAGTACATGAGGGGGTGGGTAGCCAGCACCACGACCTTTGTGTTCCCAGTGGCGAAATTTACACACCGCACCAAATACTCATTGAGGCTAAGGCGATTAGGGGAGGCCCAGGATCAGTTCAAGTAATCGTCGCTGGTGTTGGCTGTGAGCGGGTATCGAACTCGGGTAGTGTAGCATGGCATTGAGAGGCAGGTGTGATGCGTCTCCGTGTGGTGGCCGAGTGGTGGTTGAGTCACGTGGCTGAGTGCAGTGGCTGGGAGTGGTAGTTGTGTCGAGGCCTTGTTTTTGAGTGTGGTGGTTAAGTCTGCAATGACTGAATGGAAAATTGAATAGTTGGGAGGGTAATTGAGAGGTTTATCCTTTTTGGTTGAGTGGGTCTCTGTGGTAATTGAGTAGATATTGAGTGAGTGGCTGAGCGGTTAAGTTATTGGGGATGAATATGGTGGCTATCTTGAGCCCGAGTTCATGCAGTCATTACGTGGCTAACATAGCGGTTGAGTGGGTGTTTAATTGAGCGACTGAATCTCCTCGGTTGAATGCGATGGTGCTGGGGTGCGATGGTGCTGGGCTGCGATGGTGCTGGGGTGCGATGGTGCTGGGGTGCGATGGTGCTGGGGTGCGATGGTGCTGGGGTGCGATGGTGCTGGGGTGCGATGGTGCTGGGGTGCGATGGTGCTGGGGTGCGATGGTGCTGGGGTGCGATGGTGCTGGGGTGCGATGGTGCTGGGGTGCGATGGTGCTGGGGTGCGATGGTGCTGGGGTGCGATGGTGCTGGGGTGCGATGGTGCTGGGGTGCGATGGTGCTGGGGTGCGATGGTGCTGGGGTGCGATGGTGCTGGGGTGCTGGGGTGCGATGGTGCTGGGGTGCGAGCCGCCCCCCCACCTTCTCGATGTTGGCCTGGTGTCGCGCCAGGCGCTCCAGGTCGGTGGGGATGGCCACTCGGGTGAACTTGTTGAGCGCCGGCCCCAGGCGCCGCAGCGGCACCGGCGTGGCAGCCCCGCCACCGGCCCGGCTCTCCGCCATGCCGCTAGCTCGCGCGCTTACGACCCTCGCGCTACCCGCTCGCCCGGCCCCTTGCCATCACGCTGGTGCCTCCAATAAATGTGCGCTCCAACTCAACCGGACGTCCTTGCAGTGGCAACAACTGTGTGGTTCAAACAATGGCACGGTCAGGGCGACTGTTAGCAGAAGAGACAACAGGGGTAACACAGCAGAGTGGACTTACAACAGTGTGGACATAGAGCAGGGGCGACTATTGGGTGACTGCGTGTGACCAGATGACCTTGCTCAGCACTGAGGAGCGGTAGTGTAGTGGATAGTGCTCTGCGCTAAGAACCTGGCGATCAGTCCGAATCCCGCTCACGGCCTAAACCAGTAACGATTATCTGAACCGGTCCTGGGCCTCCCATAGGTCAGCTCAGCCTCAAATGAATACTGTACCTGGTGTGGTGTGTAAACGTCACCATTGGAGAGACAAAGGCGGCCGGGCGTGGTGCTGGCCACACACTCCCTCGTGTGCCGTGCCGGCCTTCATAGGTGCTCGCTAACAGCACTTTCCCCAAAAAGTCTGTTCAGGCTATACGGGGGATCTTTGTCTTTTTGGTTTTTCTCAGCACGCCGCCTCCACAAGCGTTCACTTTTTACAAAACAAGATCAGTGCAGTGGCCACTACATCGCACCTGATGCGTTACGGACGTTCCAGACACGATGCTTCATCTCCAAGCAACCTCCGGCATTAACGTTGCATTCTCGCAATCCTAAAGGTGACGATCAGGCGAAGCCTCCAGCATAAACACTGAACCACAGGAATGTTTAGGCCTGTTTCTCTGTCAGCTAGACTATGCAATGCAACAACATCCGCATAGCATTCACTGACTTCCTGGCGACAGTCACAACTTATTAATATGGAATTACGTAACGAGACGCACCACGCACTGTTGCGCATGGACACGTACACTGAGCTTTTGTCAATCCACTGCTAACCGAGGGCCTCCTGGCATCTTCCGGGTTCGTGGGGGGTTATTGTGACCATACTTCACCGCGCTGGTCAGTGCGGGTTTGGTAAAGATTGGAAGCAAACAAGTACTGTACAACAATGGGCTTTGCTGCACAGCCCTCTCTGCTGTCCACAATGTCGTCATAACAACCCCCGCCGCTCACCACGAGGTGGCGGTGACGTCACCGCTGCGCTGGTGCCAGGCGAGGTGCACCGTGAGGCCACACGAAGTGGAGAAGCTGGCAGGTCACACAACAGACCCACGTGCCATGGGTTGACTGACTGAGATGACCGGCAGATGCGCCATCTGTGCTCCCCTACTGTGCCAACTCATTTCGTCGTTGTGAATGTAGTCGTATAGCCCTACTACTACAACAACAACCCTAATTCGTGCTGATTGCCCATCCAAGCACGAACCAAGCTCAGCTTCCGATCAGTCACGAGGTCGATCGCTTTGCGGGTGGCGTGGCGAGTCCGGAACTAAACGTGGGCGACCGCCAGCCCCATCAGTTTCTGTTCCCACTTCTCACTCACGCAGCTCGCCACACCACCAACCCGCCAGTGTACACGAACACACGACACACACTGCACAGGCAACACATCTGGCAAACACAAGGGCCGCCGTTCGACACGAAGCGGCGCCGACGTCACCACGGCGTTTGTGCCAGGCTAGGTGCGCTTTGAGACATTCACGCGAATAGCGGAAGGCTCTCTCACCGCTGGGACGAGGAAATTACGGGACAGACCCAGGCGTTATGGGTTGACGAGCGTGCCAGGCTAGGTGCAGGTCATGGGACAGATCCCACTGTGCCAATTAAAACCACACACGCGCGTGTACACATGGACACATGATACGTAACCCGCTGACGCACATGGACACACACAGCACACGCAATCACAAACACGCACAGAGGCGCCTGTATTCTATTACAGCGCGCACACTCCCCAACAACAACAACAGCCGCCGACGTCACCACGGCGCTTGTGCCAGGCTAGGTGCGCTTTGAGGAAACGCTCAAACACAGATACTGTACCCGCTCCCCGACATTATCCATGAACATACTCCATAATACAGTTTTTTTGGGTTATATCGCGTAGATGTGTCGTTAAACCCGCCACCACCCGACACAGCCAATTAGCAAGGTTTGTCACGTAAACAGAACGTGCCAGTTCGTTACTAGCACAGCACACGGGTGTCTTGGAGAGTAAATACACAACATTTACATCACACCAACCCCCCCTCTGTATGATCCATGAACAGACTGTGGGGGTGGTTGGTGTGGCCAGCACCACCCACAGCCGCCTTCGTCTCCACAGCGCTGTTGTTTACACACCGCACACAGTACAGTGCTCATTTCTGGCTGAGCCGACCTCAGGGGGAGGCCCAGGACCGGTTCAGATATTGGTTGGCCGAGGTCGCGAACACTGCGCCACCGCAGCCCAGAGACAGACCCGGTGACAGGCGGAGACAGCGACAGGCAGAACTCCTCCTCACCCAGTCACTCGCTCGCTCGCTCCTCACCCAGTCACTCGCTCGCTCCTCACCCAGTCAGTCACTCGCTCCTCACCCAGTCAGTCACTCGCTCCTCACCCAGTCACTCGCTCGCTCCTCACCCAGTCACTCGCTCGCTCCTCACCCAGTCACTCGCTCGCTCCTCACCCAGTCAGTCACTCGCTCGCTCCTCACCCAGTCAGAACCCCTCCTCACCCAGTCACTCGCTCGCTCCTCACCCAGTCAGTCACTCGCTCGCTCCTCACCCAGTCAGAACCCCTCCTCACCCAGTCACTCGCTCGCTCCTCACCCAGTCAGTCACTCGCTCCTCACCCAGTCAGTCACCCACTCCTCACCCAGTCAGTCACTCGCTCCTCACCCAGGCAGAACTCCCCCTCACCCAGTCACTCGCTCGCTCCTCACCCAGTCACTCGCTCGCTCCTCACCCAGTCAGAACCCCTCCTCACCCAGTCACTCGCTCGCTCCTCACCCAGGCAGAACTCCCCCTCACCCAGTCACTCGCTCGCTCCTCACCCAGTCACTCGCTCGCTCCTCACCCAGTCAGAACCCCTCCTCACCCAGTCACTCGCTCGCTCCTCACCCAGTCACTCGCTCCTCACCCAGCGCCGCGCTCCCAGCTGCTCGTCAACTCCTGGCTCCCACACGAGTGGTGACGTCCGTTATAAACCTCGCTCGCGCGTGACGTCATGTAAACCCGTGGTCGTGCGTGACATCATGTAACCAACGCTCGCGCGTGACGTCATGTAAACCTGTGGTCGTGCGTGACATCATGTAACCAACGCTCGCGCGTGACATTGTGTAACCCACGCTCGTGCATGACGTCATGTAACCAACGCTCGCGCGTGACGTCATGTAACCCACGCTCGTGCGTGACATCATGTAACTTATGCTCGCGCGTGACATCATGTAACCCACGCTTGCGCGTGACATCATGTGACTTATGCTCGCGCGTGACATCATGTAAGCCACGCTCGCGCGTGACGTCATGCAGGCTTTTGCTGTCTGCGGGCAGCAGCGGGTGCGTTGATGGGAGATTGGCACCGTGTTCCCACGAAGCCGATAGACGACCGAGAGGTTGTGGTTTGTATTCGTCTCAGAGATGGTGAGGGAGGCACTGGCGGCATGGAGAGACTGCGCGTGGCCAGGCGGCTGACTGGAGCCGCGTGTCACCGCCGGGGCGTCTCTGGCAGAGAACATTCACAGCTCGATTTCGATTTAAAGCTTTCGTGACTGCAGGGATTCATCTTCTTGGTTCTTTCGGTAAAGTCACGTAGAATGTTCTCCACCTGAGGACGGCTGCTTGCGTTGTGGCCGAAACGTCGTGAGAATTATTTAATGTTTTATTTTAATTATTTTATTATTTCCATTCTACGTGACTTTACCGAAAGAACCAAGAACATTCACAGCTCGTTCAGCGACACACGAGGCGATTCAGTCGCTTCATCGCCCACGACCGCCTCAGCCTGAACGCGCCCGTCTCGGCAGCTAAGCAGGGTCCAGCCTGCTGGAGGATGGGAGACCGCCTGGGAGGGCCGGTGGTGGTCCGGGCTTTTGCGGTCTGCAGGGGGCGGCTTTTGGTGCTATGCCACTGCAAACCAGCTGGGTAACTGGATACACGGGATTTTCGTGTAACAAATACACATTTATTGATTGGTTTCAAGGAATTTTTATTAATCGATAAAAGTTGCATCTGTACCACAGATCCTCCAAAGATTCATTTAAACAAATAAACAGCAAATCACCCTCGAACAAAAACACCTCCTCACGGAATTATAAACTCACGTAACACGACCCAGAGGTAAATCCTATCTAACACCACTGGGGGGGGGGGGGGGGGGCAGCGAGAGGTGACGATATCCTTCAAGGTCATGGCGACTACTACACTTAAGTTCAAGCTCACGTCTTTCACGCCGACAACAATGCCAACGTGAAACCAAGGCACGCGGTGAATTAACAATCAATGATTTCCTGCCCTTTATAAAGCCACTGCCGGACAATGGCCTCCCCACGCCTTGTCAGCCATCAGAATCAATTCACCATTCTGGGCTCGGAACCGTGGACAACACCAACCACAACCTTCCTGGACACTCACCAAGTTCCTCACTGCGAGGTGGCGGCGACACAGGAGTCGCCAACAAAGTGTCAGCGTGCGATAAACAAGTGGTGTAAATTCTACATTCCCATGACAGACACGAGTATGTCCAGTCGGCGGCCACTCTTTTGACTTCCCACCCACACAGTGGTCAGTCATTGCATCGAGCCGGGATGGACGGTGGGCTGAGTTAACCCTTGACGAGCAGTACTTCAACTTACAATATAGACGAGTCACGTGCTGTGACAACAGAGGCAGCCCTTTGGATACGCCTGCAGTCACGCGAAACGAGACTGCCGTCCAGCTTCTCAAAGCCGGCCGGCTTCCGTGGCTGTGAAATGCATCACCTTGTGGTGCAGGCTGAGAGGCCTGGGAATGGCGAGCCATCGCCGTGGACGGCTGGGTCAGGGAGCTCACTCGCGCGTCGCAGCACACGGGGCCCACGATCCAATTCCAAGGTTCACAAATCATTCACACCGGTGGAATTAAACAATGCGTGCCATCTGCTGGATGCACGTGAAAGGTCCTGTGAGATTGGCAGGAGTTGGTGATTACACGTGTGAGCGTCTGAGCCGAAATCCCAATATTTTCCAAAGATTAACAAATAGCCTCCATAATAACTACACCCACATTCCCCTTGCAAATGAACAATACAGAGCTGTAACAACAAATAACGGACCTCAATGAGCTGTTACCTGGTTAAAGGGCCGTGAAATGAATAACTGAATATCGGGCTACATTCAATACTATCCGCCGCTTTTATAAATATACTTTATAACAGCAACACAAGCAGTTCCCCACATACAGGCACTTTCCCCGTCGTATTCTTCATTACACAAGATTGTCAAATATAAAAAGTTTATAGTCTTCGTTCCGTCACCAAATATTGCACAAAAACCTCACTGCGGTAAGTTTTAGATTTTTGTTGCAACATTTCCACGACCGGCTCAGAGGCCAATGAGGGCCTGCGGGAGGCTTGTGCATGGTAATCCACTGCACGGCGGGTGCAGAGGGGGAGGCGCAGAGGCCCCGCCGCTCTAAGGAAGCCGCCGAAATGTCGACGCCTCTCCGCCTCGCGCCTCTCGCTCTCATAGCGAGATCGATCGGCCGCAACCTGCCATGAAATCCACACTGCGTGGAGGTTGAGGGAGTGGCAAATAAGGTATTGAAATGTCCAGGGAATATTTGTAACACCCCCATTAGATTTGCCCTGTATTTCTCTCCAAAGCACCACACCATTTTATATTTAAATAAAAAAACGAAAGTATGAAAATAACCATCACCACCCATACAAGAGGCCCAAGTCCCCAGTTCCCTGTGGCAGACGCCACGTGGTCGGTATTTAGTCCCGCGGTCCCTGCAGCCCGTGGAGCCGGGCGCTGCTCCACTGCTTCTGCCGCCTCCCTTGCCCTCGTCACACGTAGACCCCAGGTGGCACCTTGGTGGAGCTGGTTGGCGCCTTGGAGGAGCTGGGGTAGACGAGGAAGAGGGAGAGCTGGCCCAGCCCCAGAAGGGCTCCCAAGAGGTTGGGCACCTGGAGGACAGCGCAGTGGAGGGAAGGCAGCATCAAAACATGGCAACAGGGCCAGAGGTTACGGGGCCAGCGTAGAAACGACCACGTGGTTGCGAGAAACCTGGGTACTGATGCTGCATGTGTGCAACAGCACCAAGCGTGGCTTCACCTCACAAGGCTCCCACCCTGAGCAGAAGCCAAGGTCGTATGTGTAGTCTGATGTCTACAAAGAAAACCAACCGCTTTACCCAGGACAATTAGATCCCTGAGCAATGTGCAAGAGGCAGGAAACCCACAGAGACGAGGGGGGTAACACCTAACGCTCCGCAGAGATCGATTCAATTACTTTGCAGCCAAAAACCTACAACACGTTTTTAATTCGGATCTGAAACAGCCTACATTTTTTCAAAACCAAACATCAACAATCGAGTGCATTTATGTTATCCAAAGGAGCAAATTATAGCAAAAGGCTACAACACCTCGTATTCCCAGCCAGTCTCCCATCAAAGTGCTAACCAGGGTCAACCAAGCATCGAGTCTGCGACTGGGTGCGTCCGAGGTGATGTGGCGGTCGACGCCGATGGAAACCCGCGACGTCAATGCGTCGTGCCCCATGCCCTGCGCTTGGCGCTGTTGTTTACCTCGTGGAGCCCGGGCTGCACTCACCTGTATGAACATGTCTTGCAGCATGAGGCCGTAGATGAACCACTCGGTGCCCACCACGAGGTTGGCGGCGCACAGCGGGAAGGCCAACGACTCCGTGCTCCGCGAGCGCACGACCTCAGCCTGCAACGGCAGCAACAGGCTTCAAACGCGCATCTTGTACTTACAGAAAACACACGCAACAAGTGACGGGCACGTCCATAGGGAGATCTAGATATTTCTCAAGGGGTGCGCGAGAGAGGGAGGGCAGTCATGAAACGTGAAGCCTTTTTAACTCGGGCCCTACACTGCACCGCCGAGTAGCGCATACAATACACAAACAACACTCGACGTCCGACCACATAGCCCCATATAAGTGAAATCAAAGTACATACAGCAAATATTAGGTAGAAGTAACTTAGGCATCGCATAAACCGAATTCCCGTAAAACAATAGAAACCCGTAGTTGTAGTGTACGGGCATGCTGCACTCGATGTGTGTGCACACTGCGCATGGGGTTTGGAGGTTACAGGGGGACTTGCGCGGTGCGTGTGCTGTGCGTGGCAATCATGGTGCGTGTGTGCGGTGCGCATGTTTAGCGTGTTGGCACTGTGCTGGCGTACGAGTGTGGCAAGCGGGGAGCCGTAGTTGACGACGGTCCACAGCGTGCACACCATGCCCAGGTGAGGCCGTGCAGCGTCCTCGTCCTCCGCCAGGTACTTGACGTAGAGCAGTACCGCGTAGAGCAGCAGCGCGGGCCCCACCATGGTACGGTACAGACTCCGCTGCGGACACACGGTACTCCACGTCGTCACCACTCTCTTCATCGTTCAAAATCATCATCGGCGATGATCCACTTCTGAAAGCCTTCCCAAGCTATCACCACCTCTCACGATCCTGCGATACAATTACACTGACAGGTGTGGCTGCAGTTCCAAGACTGAATTTCGTATCTATCAAAGTGCATGCAGGCGTGCGTATACTGCAGAGTAACAAGCCAGAGACTATAAAACAGGTTTTTTTTGGGTTAGATCGTGTAAATATTTAAACGTGTCGTTAAGCCCGCCACCACCCGACACAGCCAATAAGTTAGGTTTGTCACGTAAACAGAAAATGCCAATTCGTTACAAGTACAGCACACCGGTGTGTTAGAGAGCAAAGCCACATTTACAATCTGAGTACGACGTTTCATCAGTCATTACAACTAGCTTCATCAAGCGACAGCCAGATTTGTTGAAAAATCGTCCTGTTTCGTTCCTTAAATAAAAAAGGTAGATGTGATGACATCACTTGTGAGCCCTTCTTGAGAGAAGTGGGGGGGGGGGGATTCATTAATTAATATAAATCGCAATGGGTATCCATTGCCAGTTGGGTTATTTATATGGTAATCAACGTACATTATATGCATGCGCATTAGCCAGAGACCGCTACCCCAAGCGCAGACATTCCTCTGGGCGTGCGTTTTATGCGGGCGACGGCAGGCGCAGAGATTCATCGTCGTACACGGAGTCTCTGGGAGCCGTGAGCTCGGCTGCGGACGGGGCTAGCACTCGCGCTTGCGAGGGGATCCCCGCGAGGGAGGGGGCACCTTGTGCGGCGTGTTCACGTAGAAGATGATGGAGTAGAGGACCCCGATGGACGCCCCCACGGCATTCACGTACACGATGGTGGGGTCACCCAGGAGCAGGCCGTATCGCAGCCACAGTGTGCAGCTGCACACAAAGACAAAGATCCCCCGTATAGCCATAACCGACTGTTGGGGCAAGTGCTGTTAGCGAGCACCTACGAAGCCGGCTCGGTACAACACAGCTACACGCACACACGCACACACGAGCCATCAGCACCAACACACACTACCAACCTGGCTCACACACGCAACACATGCATAATGAACCTGATTCATACACGCAGTCAAGGAAACCAAAACACACGAAGACAAATATCTCCTGTGTGGCCTACACAGAGTATTGGGGCAAGTGCTGTTAACAAACACATATGAAGTCATCCCAATTATCACCTTTGGCTCCCCAGTCGTGATGTTTAGACACTGCACCAGGTATTAATTTACGGCTGTGTCGACCTAGATAGGGGCCAGGGTCAGTGCAGCTATTCGGCACTGTTTTTGGTCATGAGCAGGAATTGAACTCAGGTCACTGGGGTCATAGCAGAGTGTGCTAATCACTGCACTACCTCTGCCCAGAGGACACACTCGCATACCCAAGACCAACTCAGCCAAGGGTATTAACACGCATGCACGTACACAAAGACAAAGATCCCTCGTATAGAACTTAACAGACTGTTGAAGCAAGTGCTATTAGTGAGCACCTATGAAGGCTGGAACGGAACACGAGGGGGTGGGTGGCCAGCACCACACCCGACTCTCTTTGTCTCCCAAGTGGCGATGTTTACCGGTTCAAATAATCGTAACTGGTGTTGGCCGTGAGCGGGAATCGAACTCGGGTCGCCGGATTCATAGCGTAGCACGCTAACTGCTACACTGCCGCTCCCCACTATACACACTCACATACACGTGCAGGAGTGAAGACCATATTCTTTAAAGAGACGTCATTTCCATTCATCAAATCTGGTTTCCATGAGCGATTTAAGTGTGGCGTTTGACAAATGCCAAGGGGAGGGATATTTACATCGTGCGACTGTGCAGGAATAAACCGGCAACACTGCCGTATTTGCCCAGCACAGCGGCATGTTTACAGTGGCCGTGTTTACACAGACACACAGAGAGCTGCCAATCACAGTGAGGCAGCTGCCGTCCGCGTTACAGGCTCCATCTGTCAGGCAACCAGCACTCGTCTCAGCACTCCGGAGCCCCACGCGCACAGCCCTTTTGTCGATCCGCTGCTGGTTAAAGGCCTTCCCATGTCATGCGAGTCTCGGGGGGGTTATTTGACCATACTTCACCACGCTGGTCAGTGTGGGTTTGGCGAAGCGTCAAAATACAAATGCATCTCCAAACTGTGTAGAGAGCAACACGCGAACAGCTAAAGCGTAACGTAAGCAATGAAACAAAGTGTTCAATCCAACCGAGGAGAGTAACATTTACCTTCCCAAAGACAGATCCGTCTCGTGCTCTAGTTGACATCTCTGTGTCATCCCATGGCACACTCGATCCGTTCCTGACCTCTGACCCAACTTTGCTGCACCAATGGGCACATCCGAGCTCTGTCTACTCACCGTACAGCCGCCCCTACACCCCCGAGACACAACGAGGCTGAACGCACTCCTTGTTGCCGCAACCCTGATTGGGACGATCTCCATGACCTTCACCAGAGCTTCTCCTGGCGCACACATACCTGTTGTTCAGGCAAACCACGCGTGGACGTGTGCGTCGACGGCTAATGATGCTATTCTCGCAGGCGGCTCCCTTACAAACGAGGGGCAAAGCATCATGTGCAGCAGCACTTGAGTTGCATCAGCCCCGCACTCCGATTAGCACGGTTAGCTACGTACGGTGCGAAAGAAGTTCGACATACATACGTACATACAGCCCCGTTAAGAGAGACACGGGCGTTGCGGGAGCACGCTAGGTCCGTTCAGCCACAGTCACGAACCCAGCCGGCACACTCTCCCAGGAGCCATGGAAATGCGGAGCGAGTCACGAAGGTCCAGACTTATGCCGCCGTGGTTGCAACGAGCCAGGCATCCTCACCTGACGCAGAGAGACACGAAGGGGAACATGGAGAGCCCCAAGGTGCTGCCCTTTTGCTTGATCTTTAGACAGATGGAGCTGGAAGACAGCGCAGCAGCGCACAAGATCAGACACCGCCCTCCGCCCAGCCATGTGTTCCAGGATCAAATCAAACGATGACTGTCACATAAATGTCATTCGCTAGTAACCCCCCTGCAGGAATAATTAGGTTTTACATCCAACCGCCTGACCATCATTATCAACTATCATCATCATGATACACCACGTCATCGTTCACACCATAACCACCATCAAGAGTGTTAACTGCATTATCATCTTCGTTACCACTCACATCAGCTCCATCACATTACACATCATCTTCATCGCTACTCCTCGCCACCGCCACTATCATCATCTTCTCCATCGACACCACCATCACCCCCATTGCCACCATAACCACCGCTGTCACCATTTACTACATTATTACTAACTTCAAAATGCGCCATCACCACCAATATCCACCACTGCCACAACCGTCAATTAACACCACGATCAGAAAGATCGATCACATTCACCACCTCCACTACCCCACCAGCCTGGTATCAAGTTCGAGTGTGCTCACTAAAGCAAATAAGAACTCAAGAGACCAGGATCAGTCTCATTTGTAAGAGTGAGCTGGGTTGCCAAAAATACACGAAAGCAAATTGATTCCAATTAAGTACAACAATAAAGGCAATATAAAGCGGCGCAAAAACAAATGCATTACAAGAGAAATAAAAAAACACTACAAAAAAAGTCAACATTTAAGAAAATAAATTCTCTGTAGCTATAGTCGGCTCGGACAAATAACTTTTGACATATTTCCGAGCCAACTGTTGCGACACGCGGCTGACTGGTGCGGTGCGTGGACCGTACAAGCCGGAGAGGAAGGAGAGGATGGTGCAGACGGACGCCACCGCGAGTAGCACGGTGCGCAGGGTGGCCATGGTGCCCGGAGAAACCATGGTGGTGCCGCTGGTGCCGCTGGGCACTCAGGGTCGCGACCTGGAAACACGGCGGGGACACGGGGGACATGGGGCCCACAGCCGTCAACACCACCATCATTAGCACCAGCGTCAGCATTGGCACCACGGTCACCACCATCATTAGCAACAACCGCCATTCGCCACTAAGTGGCGGTGACGTCACCACGACGCTTGTGCCAGGCTATGTGCACCTTGAGGCTTCGTGAAGTGTCGAACGCCCACTGGCAGGAGGTCACGGGGCAGACCCAGGTGCCACGGGTCGACTGACTGAGATGAGTGGCATCAGCCATCTCATCTCATCATCATTATTGGCACCACTGTCACCACCATTATTGGCACCACACCGTCACCATCATCATCATTGGCACAATCACCACCGTCACAAACATCATCATTGGCACCACTGTCAACACCACCTATCTCTATCATTTTCAGCACCATCACATCAACATTTCCTTTGCTTTACACCTCCCCGTATATACCAAATCACTGAGTGCACCCGACTGCGTCAGCTTTTGGAGGCTAAGCCTGGCTCGTGCTTCAATGGCAGTCCCAGGTGTTGTAGGTTTGGGCAGCGAGGTGGCAGCAAACAGAGATTACTGAATCTGTGTGTGCGGCGTGGAGCGTTACCCCTGGCGATCACCAGCTGTTGGCAAATGGGGCTGCAAGGGGACCAGCATGTGGCAGTGAATCAATGGATTATTGTATCTATCTGTATGGATATGTTTTTTTCAATAACCCCCTGGTATCATTGGCGTTTGCTTCCCACGCGTCAATCACTCATTTATGTAATTGGCAAAATATCCCAATGCAGCAGCACCCTCTTGAAAATGAATCCTGAGACTCAGCGAGGCTGTCCTGTGTACACAGTATCATCGTGATGATGGGAGACTGGTCTCACGGTGCATGTATACTCAGTACAAAGTCGTAGTGGCAGCACAGAGGTTTAAACAGCACAAGGGCAGCAGCAGACAGCGGAGGCAACAGCAAAGAGACCACAGAGCCACACGTATAGCCTGACAAACAGCAGCACAGGCAACAGGGCACAAGTAGCACTGATAGCCAAGCACATCGTAGGCAAGGAAACACATCACACAACAGCACACCACATCACACCACACCACACAGTACACAGTACGCACATCACAAACAACACACCACACACGACAGCAAACACGGTACTGTACACACTACACACGCAGCACTGTACACATACCAAGCTCGACGCAGAGTGCACACAGTGTACACATCGCACACACAGCACACTCAAACACCACGCACACACAGCACACACTGCACGAACAGCACACGCAGCACACGCAGCACACACCACGCAGATGACGCGCGGGCAGGACGCGGGCCTCCCCGTCTCCACGTGCGGCCTCCACTTCCTGGTCGGAGGACGTGGCAGGAGGCGCGGACTTCTGTCCGCTCACCAACAACAGCAGCAGCAGCAACAACAACACAGCTCACACTCACTCACTGCCCACTCACTCACTGCTCACTCACTGCCCACACACTCACGGCGCGCGCGACTCGCACGGAATAATCCCAACATGGAAAGCGCACGAAGACTCACTCGGGTCTCTGTCCTCACTCCGCCAGGGCACGCCTCCCACTCCCCTCCCTCCCCCCGACTCCTCTACCCCCCCCGGCTCCCCCCCCCCCCCCGGCTCCCCTCCCCCCGGCTCCCCTCCCCCCCCCCGGCTCCCCTCCCACTCCCCTCCCCCCACCCCCCCGACTCCACTCCAACCCCGGCTCCCCTCCCACCCCCGACCCCCCCGACTCCCCCCCCCGGCTCCCCCCCCCCCGGCTCCCCTCCCACCCCCGGCTCCCCTTCCACCACCGACCCCCCCGACTCCCCCCCCCGGCTCCCCCCCCCCCGGCTCCCCTCCCACCCCCCCCGACCCCCCCCCCCACCCCCCCCCGACCCCCCCCCGACCCCCCCCCGACCCCCCCCCACCCCCCCCCGACCCCCCCCCACCCCCCCCACCCCCCCCACCCCCCCCCACCCCCCCCCGACCCCCCCCCACCCCCCCGACCCCCCCGACTCCCCCCCCCGGCTCCCCTCCCACCCCCCGTCCCCCTCCACCCCGACACCCGCTCGCGAGCGCGCACGTGGCGGGAATCTTCCGGAAGAGGAAGACGCAGCAGCAGGAGGAGGCGGCCGCCACCGAAACGCGCGGCGCGGTCGCCACGGCAACGCGTCTCCAGGCTGGAAGCGGCGCGCGAGGCAGCAGCTGGTAACACGAAGAGCGGCACGATCGCGACTACTCACGCTACTTATACTTGTTTTACGCACACACACACACGTATATATATAAACCCCCCACTATTATAGACACTATTCTACTTGCACAGTATGCAATCATAGTAACGACACAATGTGTATACAAGTTTCACACTGACCACGCTCGGGGTGCGATCTCGTGCCGCCCGTTCTGGTTGAGCGCCCGCCCCGACGTGCGACCCCGAGCTGCGGGCTTCGTTCTCCCGGCGCGGCAAGTTTCTTAAACCCTCACCCCCTTCCTCCCGGGCCTGGCCTCTGCCCACCCAGCGGTTTAAATGAGCATTGTTCAGTATGATAGGAGGACTTCCATCCGATGTACGTGATGTACCATTGGCATGACAATGGCGATAAGAATCGCTGCTGTGCTGACAGGCGTGTGTGGTGGGGTGGGAGGGCCGCCCAGGAGATGGATCTCCCCGTGGAGGAGCCGCACGAGTGTTCGTCTCTTGCCGAGGGCGAAGCCGCGATGGGTGACGGAGCGGCCTCCGAGCCCGCGGCAGCCGACGAGACGCGGGGCACGGAGCGTGGCCCGGCCGATGACGATGTGGGAGAGCAGCAGGCTGGGCAGCGGGGAGAGCAGCAGGGGCGTGCAGGTGCTCTTGATGGCCGAGGGCAGCCGAGTCGGGAGGGGGCTGTGGTTCGTGTTCGCTTCGCGGTGTTGTCCTGCACGCGGGTGTCAGCCAGCACTCTGAAGACACGGGTCGATGATGACTCGTGCAGATTGTTTTGAGACTCTTAAACCCACAGGGCTGAGGTGACCAGGAGATGGCAGTCCAGCAAGTAGGTTTAAAAAAATTGTGTGGGGTTTTGAGTGTGACTCCTTTTTATCAATTTTGACTTAAAACTTTCGTGACTGCAGGAAATCATATTCTTGGTTCTTTCGGTAAAGTCACATAAATAGAACATTTAAATAAATAAAAAATAGCTTTTATTTTACATTTTTATTTTCTATCTCCGTGAAAGAATCAAGAATATCCTTTATATTGGGGTTTTTTTCTAGGCATAGTACTTCAGTCATATGCAAAACTCTCATGGAGTTTAGCATATCCCAATGAAGCAGGACCCTCCTGAAATATAGCCTTGAGACTCGTTGAGGATTTTCTAGAAAGTAATAATTTTGCAACGAGCTGGATGTCTCACTAGCACAGCCACCGTTGCGGTGGTTCGCTTACATTGGCAGGCCAATCCCTCACAATGCAGTGGCCACCTCCACAGCTGCGTCGTAGTGGAGGTAGCTCAGCTCTCCGATCTCACATTTACACGCAAATTCCATCTCTAGCCCCGCCCACTTACCCTTGGGCTAAACCCATCTGAAACCTATATAACATCCTGCTGCAGCAGATATTTTTTCACCTGATGACGATTGTTTGTGTTGCGATCGAAACGTTGTGATTTTTTTTTTTCTATCGACTTGGCTTTACCGAAAGACCCAAAGACTATAAAGTAATCATTACCGTGCAATATGCTGGTTAATCCTCTCTCAATGTATAGAGTGGCTTTATATCTCAATTCGTCTCAGCCAAATTCTCAAGTAAATTTAACAAAATCCGGTTCACAACACTTTGTAGATTGTCGGCGTTGTTTGCATTAATAATTCACTTTCAATTTTCTTCATCGAAATATTTCACCTGGAAAATCCCTTGCGAAGGAAAACCTCATTGACAAGGCTACCCAGGCTGTCAAGTGACACACGCAGGCCACCTCTAAAGATCCTGTGACGTCTTTCCCAAGAGTAGGCCACTGAGTGCCAGCATCACGGTACAAATTTACTACGTTTAAAAATTTACTCACAAATTACTCAGTTGGATTTTTACATTAGCAATCATCTCCCCCTACTGGCAGCTGTGCAATTGTTGGCACCAGTATCTGGCTGTCTTCCAGCTTGTCTGTGGTTTCCTTCCCGAATGAGCCATTTTGGACCAAATGGTCCCATATCATGAGTAAGCTTCCCGATGTTCTGATATAACAGCAAACACGTAATCAACTGAACTGGCATACGAATATGATGTCTACCCTTGGCTGAGGATCATCAGTGGATCTGGACACCAGTGATCCCAATTGGACATGTCTCGACTTTAAGCTCAATCTTCCATAATGGACTGAGCATAGTGACCACTCCACTGTGTTTAAAGTATAACTCCTATACTATACAGTGAACCTATGCAAACAGATAACTAATCTTCTGCATGAAATTACGTTTATATTCCTATAAAGCATGTGTATGTAATTTATGGTGTTTAGTTCTGCGCAATTTTTCTGTTAACCAAATGTATAGTTTTCAATCTCCAGCATACAGGTAAAAGTCTAACATATATCTGCAAAGAGGTGATGATGATGAAGCTCCCATTGGTGGTGTTGCTCAGGCAATGAATGGGCGCTGTGAATCCGTGTTGTATGTGTGTGGCTCTCAGCCTGGGAAGCCGAGCACAGCGCTGCTGAGATGGAAGGAGATACTTGGGCTCTCAGCCAGGAATTAGACTCCAGGCAAGTCAATCCGTCACTGAACTCTACAAATGAACCCTCCACTCGAATAATCCATTGTTACGCAATGCTGTGTGGGAAGACCGTTTGCATCTTTTTCTCGCGTGTTAAGATGTGTGTGCTGATAACTTATCCTACTACACATACGCTTCATACGAACTGGCTATGCACAAGCATTAGGTTTCCATCGTCTTGATTTTCATATTTCCAGTTTTAACTGCGAGTCGCATCAGCAGAGAGTGGCCTGCTAAACAAATGCTGCTCTGCTACCTGATGTTACAGGCAAGATCTTCGACCAACACTGTGGCTGTTTCATTGCAGCAAATATATCCAGAAGACCCATTGGGTGACTGATCGACATGCCATTTATATTTTATACGGAGAAGCAGACCGCTGTCTGATTATTTATCCATTACCTACGTGTTGTTCTACCATTGTATACAACCGAGCATGTCATGTTGTTCTACCAGTAGATCACACACACAACACGTTTAGTGTATAATCAAGGAATGTCCGTCTCTACCAAAACTGTGCGCTACGTGCACAGCAGCGCTGCTCTGCAGGAGGCTCAACAGCACGCGGAAGATGTGCGGTTGACACACGCGGAGAAGGCTCAGCTGTACACACTGCGACGTCACCTCGACCAACTCTGGGAGGCCAAGAGCCAGACGGAGACGCTCATTCAGCAGACTGGGTCAGAACGCCCTCACGGTGACACAGCAGAGTCCCCATGCCGTAACAGCAGCAGTACAACCACGAGGCGCTGTAGCTGCTGTGGTCATAGTGAAACCGTGGCGTGTGAGTGAGGATGTCCCAGCTTACCGCTGCTGCTGCTGTGTTGCCAGAGAGGAGCTGCGAGGGAGCCGGCTGAGGGAGCAGGAGCTCCGCAGGGAGCAGCAGATAACGCAGCAACAAATGCGGCAAGCGGCGGACGCCACCAGCACGTGAGGAGGAGGAGGAGGGCCTTGGGAGCCACGCGGCGTCCGCAAGGCGCCGCGTGGCCCACCTCGCCAGAGCGCTCGGCGTTGTCTGACGAGCATCGCCGTTGGTAGATCCTCGCTCTTGTTTACAAGCGCGATGGTCTACGTTGCCATGCAACACATCAGGTGTCAAGGTGTCGCTCTCCCTAGGAAGAGGTTTTGTCTGTCTCGGTGGGCTCCAACATAGTTACAATTAAATCTCACGTGTATATCCAATTAAACATCGCTGTCTAACACATTGGCAGCATCGCACTGTGCATGTCACGAGACCCACGTCGAGTGCGTTGGATTGTACGTTTCGAGTTTGTGTTAAAGGTAAGGGTGTGTTTAAGTGATCTGTAACACTGTTTTTAGTTGCATTATAATTGAACGTTTTTATTCACTTGTCGTTTGTGCATTTAAGTGACAGTATAAATCTGAGCCATTTACTAACAGATGCCATTTAAAGAAAGGCATGTGTTCATGTTTAAACACAATCAACTTGACCTAACACATTTATTTGAAAGGACAGGGAATGTAGTCTTGATGCTATTGAACTCAAACAGAACTGTCTACGATAGCTGTGATGAACAATGACCTCCTTACACGGTTCACCGACATGACTGATGCTTGTTTTTCCAGTGCCGCTATGTCCCTCTTACAAAGACAAGAAACACGAACGAAGGAGGAGGTGGATACAGAGCAGTCACTACAGGACACCCTCAGCCAGACTATCTCCCAGCACCAGTACGTTCTGCACAATTCACCACTGCCCAGTCATACTCAGTGGCCATTAACACAGTCAATAGCTATCTGCAGCTGCTAAGCTGCCTAT